TAAATGGATAACTTCAGCAACTGTTGCGCACATGCACGCAGTTTGTTTTCAACACTTGCACATACTGTATGTGACCCACCAGAGGCAGACCAACTAAATGCTAGTGGTGATATAACAAATGGTTAAAGGTTTTTAGGGCAGTTAGACTCTACTTTAATCGTGCAAAAACCAACAACCTAAAAGCACAGGGTATTCATAGTTTGTGGCTTTTTGTATTTACAAAGAGTAAACAGTACTTGACAAACACAGAGTAAAAGTAGCTCTGGGCATTATTGGTTAATAAATGACTACTATGTTTTACATCCAACCTTTTTTCAGCAGACAACATGGAAATCAAACTGTCTGGAAAGCAGCTAGTTAATACATACCGGCAAAACACAGATTAAGAAACAAACTGCAAATACAAAGTAATCGCTTAGAAAGTCTTCATCATTTTGACATGGCACATTTTCTGTACTAAACACAAATATTTAAAAATGTAGTTCTTTGCAATTTTGCCTGACCTCTGTGCAAAAACTTGCAAAAATTTATCAGAGAGCAGGAGATTAGAATAATGAAATAATCCCTTTTTCAATTTGGATTAAATAATGTTCTGGCAGAAATACAGTATGTTTAACATTAATATGATTAGTTGTAAAAATGAAAGACCAACATCACTCCGATTTCATTTAGCAGAGCCACATGGTTTTTATGCTCTCTCTTTCCATTCAAAAAGCATTCAAAACAGGCGTCTTTGATAAACCGGATTCTATAGTTCATAAGGGACAGCACATTAGAGATGTGGCTCAGATAGGTATTTGGTCCAGTTTCACTGATCACAGGAAAATGTTACAGATCACAATCTTATTACTGAAAGCAAATATACTTCACTAAGATTTTCCGTATCTCATTTCAATATGCAAAATTAAGGGCATACTGGTTTCAATGTAGCTTATGTTTAAAACCCACATTCTGGAAATAACAAATGCGGAGACTTTGCTGCATTTCACGTCATCGAAAAATTAAGATATTGTGTTTGGGCTGTCAGTTAAGTCTATATTTAAGATGACCTTTCTATGTCACTTGAACCACTGAAAGTGTTGACACTCTTGATGAAGAGAAATAGCACGCAACAGATACCATTTTGGACAAAGTACCTCTTTCTGTGTCAAACGTGCATATGCAGCAATTTGTCAGCAAAGAGAAGTCAAATGGTAAATATTAGTGAGTGGGCCATCACATTGTTCCTCTTTTCCAGAATGCTCTTCTTCAAAGACAGCGAGACTTCTCACTGACGTGAGAAATGCATGACTTTAATAATCAGTTATATACAGGAAAGACCCAGAAACAACAGCAGGTGTGGCAGTACTAACCTGGCATGGCTCAGTCAAAGTAGGACTGCAACTAATACGCCATTATTTTTATTATCAATTAATCTGTTGATTATTTTCTCAATAAACGATTACTTGTTTGGTCCATGAAAAGTCAGAAAATGGTGAAATGTTTTCAAAGCCTCAAATGTTTTGTCCACAACCTACAGATATTCACTTTACTGTCATAGAGGACCAAAGAAATCAGAAAATATTCACATTTGAGAAGCTCTAATTACAGAATCTGGACATTATCTTAAAAAAATGACTCAAAAGGATGAATCGATTATCAAAGTAGTTGGCAGTAGCTGACTAACTGATTAACTGACTAATCCCTGCAGCTCTGAATTAAAGTGGAGTGCAGTTCTGATATGTTTAACATCAAATATTTGACACACACCTGGAAAAGCATGTCTTTTATACCTTTTTAAGCACTTTACCCTTTAATAATTAACCACACAACTAAGAATGAAGTAATATAAGAGCATAAGTATGTGGAGCCAAATTACCAAATGTTAATGTTTTGTTTGCTATATTCTCTCTGCATTGTTTTGTGTCTGAATAAAACGCAAAACATGTATCTGGAACAGTTGAGAGCACTCCTGGAAACGTTGGCAGCGCTATCTTATTCCTCCACATGGGCTGTTGTTTTCCTGTCGGCTTATCGAGAAAACTGACTCACTGTTCTCAGCTGGTCAAATGAGTTTCAGTGACAGATGAGGTCTCCTCTTTAAACAAAGGGGGGCAGAGGTGGTTTCCAATAGTGGAAAGATTGTAATACTACACAGAATCAACTGGCAAAATGAAAGGGGAACAGTAACATAAAGTGAATCCTCATCATTACTGCTTTCTCTGGGCCCACAGTGCTACACTGAACTCATTACAATGCTTAATCATTGTTAACAGTAATGGCACAATCACAATGAAGGACAGTACAAATGGTTCCTTTATGACTTTATGACTAAACTGCCACAAATCCTCAAGGCAATAATGACAGAATATGTGGAAATGCCAGCCCTCCCTGTTAAGTATGATGAACTAAAATCCTTCCTGAAATGGTGAGTATGAGTGATACAATCAGCAGGAGAGCGGGTCTGTCATATCAAGATGGCATGCACTGTAGTATTGTTCCCCTGTGGTAACTGAGCTCAGGAAGTACAGAACCAGCCACAGAGCAACAGTCATCCATGTCTCGGCCAGCGACAAACCGTGGAAACTGGCAGAGATGAAAACAACTTTTAACTATGTCTCAGTGTTTTCCTCTATCCCTGATCTTAGCTTGCTGGTGGTTTTGGCCCCTGGGGCAACTGAACGCTTGGGCCTCTGTCAACTCACAAGTGTTTATTGTAAATGAGTGAGAAAAACGTCACACATATCTGAGAAATGGAAGAAATGTCCTCGAAACAGAATTCTGGTGATAAAATGAGAAATAATAGCATCAATTGTTCTTATTTTTAGTTTTTCCCACTATTCCTATTCAGTTGTGAAAACATTTTACTCACTGGCCCTACTGAAATTTTGGACAGGAGGGCATCAGTACACACGCTTTTACAATGGTTTCTACTGGCAACAGCTTATACCCAAAGTCCAATTTAGTCATCCAAACCACATACAGTATTTGTAAGTAAGTGAATTTAAAGTTTTTTCGAAGATTTGGATTTTCCTTAATAGGTTACAGAAAGCTGAGACACACACAGTGCCACTATAAATGTGTTAGTGTGTATGGAAGTACATCCATGCTATAAGGTGTAGCAGGAAGCAGTTAAGCTGATGATTATGGAAATATGTGTTGTAAAAAGTTGAATATCCTTTTAATGCACCAGCTAGCCCGGCAGCTTTAATGTTTCCAAACTCCCTTTGATGCACCGAGGTCTAAGCCATATCCAGCTAGTTCCTATTGTGAAAGGCGCTATTTTGCCAAATAACAAGGCCAGAATTCAACACTCTTTGTTCTGTCAGAGGAGAAATAAGTGCCTTTTTGTTTTGTGAAGTTGGATTATCTTCAAATCATTAGACTGGCCTTTTAACCTTTTACATCATTATTTCACTATTGCAACTTTACCTACCAAAGGCATTCAGGACACAACGGTCACATAGAACAGCAAGCAATACTACACATCTGCTATCTTTTCCACCCATATAGTGGTAGGCTAGGTGTATCAACTGTAAACTCTCAGATTGCCAACATTGCATTTTCTTGAATCCACAACAGCCAAAATGGTCAAGAGACAAGCCGATTGCTGAAGTCAACATTTCAGAGGTCACCTTGCATACATTAAATTCATTTTAATGCACCATTTCAACTAAATGACCCTAAAACTAACATATTGACTATTATTGTTACTTCTGCATACAGCAGGTAATATTATCTTACCAACTGTGTACTGGAAAGTACCTGGAGAGGGCTACATTCAGCACATGTATCCATTCATGCTTACAGTGTTCAGCACAGCCTCCTGTAGCTCTTAACTCCTCACACACTAAGCTGGTCAATGGTTCAGAGAGATCTACAAATCATTACCAGTCCACAGATGTACATGTGGTTACTAATAAGTAGAGCCATTGGTAGGAGGAAAATATACACCGTACACACATATGAGTAACACAACACTTACCAAAGCTGTCAGTGGGAAGCAGGTCACTGATTTTAAAAGGTGCACATCTGGATTATATATTGTATTACTATTCCTAGAGGCACCAGGACTATTTAGTGTTAGTATTAATTTGTCATTTTACTTTGGTATTAAATAGTTTATAGTATTCTAAAGTTATAGTTTTTTCAGCTCCAGGTACTAATTGCAGTAAATGTGCACAGCACTTATTGTATTAGCGGTTCTTAATAATACATTAGTGGAGACCTGGAACTGATGTTGCGATAATATTTCTATATATAAACTTGAGGTTTTTTCTGGGGTTTTTACTAAAGTGCCCTTTTCAATTTGTTATTGTAGGTTTACCATAACACTTTCTGTGTAGGGGCCTGGATTCACAGGAAGCTATAAGCCAATTTCCTGCACTGTGCACACAGAGAAACAAAGAGACAGGACAGGGACGGGAAAAGCCCACAGCACTACATTAGAGAAAGTGAGGATAAAAACTTGTGCGGTGTATGAAAAAGCGTGAGGAGTTGTGTTCATATCAAGAAAAGAAGGTCTGGCATAGCTGCAGCTCAGAAATAAATCACACCATTCATTAACACAACCGCATAACATGCAGACTGATGTAAAACATGAAAACATGACAACATAATCCGATTTTAAAGTCACTGTTACTACGTTTTGAAGCGGCTAGCCAAATCTGAACCAATTTAACCATACGTTTTTATCAAAGCTTCCAACGTCGCCACTTTTTTTTTTTGTTTCCGCCACACTTAAAGCAAAGGCAGTTCAGAAAGTCAGTGCCAATTCATAACTAACGACACAAACATATACAACGGAGTTTCTCTGGATGAAACTTAAAATATGAGGCGACAAGTGGCTGTTACAGGGGTCTGTAGCAGGAGAAAAGTTGAGGCGCCCCTGTTTTCTTGCTGCCAGCCTCAGTTCAATCTCGCCCGTGCAGCGTCTGAGCGCTCGTGCAGTGTAACGTTAAAGAGGCTGTTTAATATCACGGCGCCAAAGGTGACAGTTTAAAAAACAAACCCGACTTTACCTGCGAGATGTCATAGCAGTCTCTGAAAGCTGTCAAGAGTCCTCAAACGTTCCCCTTATGCCTCTGCTGAGTCGCTGCGAAGACTGTGAGAGCTGTTGAACCTGCGCGTTGAGCTACACATACCTACTGACACTGGCTTCCGGTTGCCTCCTTCAAAACAAAGGCCTCATTTCCAAGCTAATTGTACAGAAAAGTCCCTAGCAGGTAGAGTTTTATGCTATATATTTTAATAACCATCCATTTGAAATATTCATGTTCATATGAAGTGTTTTTATTATTATATTATATTATTATTTTATTAACTTATGTATATTTTCTGTATGGGCTGTTCTGACTTCTGCACGGGAGTCTTGCTTCTGTTTTTTCACATTGTATTATTATTATTATTTCTTTTCTACGTAAAAAAGGAAAAATGTTGTAAGGGAAAATGCCATTATTTATACAGTATTACAAACCTAGGCATTATGCTAATTTGTTAACTCCAAACTAACTTTAACATTTCCGTGGTATCTTGATGTTACGTTTTGTTGTTGTAGCCTACTATCACATTTTTTAAAAAAAGGTATTTAAGCTAGCCTACTTATTCTTTTGTCAAATGTGCCCTTTTATGATTTTATTTTATACATGTTATTTTGAACGACAAGCTTCCTTTCCTGTCCTTTCCTGACTAACCCCAGCTAGCTTGATGCATGTAGAGAACATTGTTTAAGTTCTCTGGCATATTCAGGTTAATATCAGAGGCTCCAGTCATAACCTATTACTATAGGGGCTCTTGAACAATATGCATAAATACATCATAAACTCTTCATTGCTAAGTGGCTGAGATATATTTAAAGATGGAAACAAGGGATCCGCCACCCCCCACTGTTAATTAATTAAGGTTTGGTTGTTTAGCTAAAAGTAAACTATGATTTGTTGTAAAAATAAAAGACCTATTGATTTCCATTTTTTTTACTATTTAACTGATAATGGTGTTAACCCAAAGCAGCAGGACAGTACAGCTGTAGGCTAAAATTAGATCAGATAACATACAAGAGAAAGTGCCTTTATAACTCATGCATGTGTCTACTTCCAGTATAATGGAAAATAAAGCCTGGTTCTCAATATTAATCAATCTATGATTGCCAACTGAATTATTGTATTTTCACCAGTGACGCAACAGTAATTAACTTGTGCAGTGTTTTGCTATGCTATTGTCTTGTGAGAGACAAGACAGGTCTATATACCTCCCCTTCTGTTACACCCTGATGATGGGACAGCCTCCCAGCTCTAGAGAATGGCGTTGTGGGTGGGGGGGAGAGGGGTAAGACAGGGAGAGCAGCATTGACGTCACCCGCCTGTGGTTATCAGTGGAGGTTAATCTACTGGGGGATGGATGGGCTTATGCAATTGTCTGTGAGCTCACAGGCTTCACATCTATGGATTTGCTTTTCCACTGTTTGACCCAGTGCACTGCTGCAGCTTACAAACAAACACTGAGATGATGGAGAGGGAATTTTGTCTCTCTGTGGAATTTTTCTTGTCATAGATGTTTTTTCTTTGCCAAATGCAATGTGCCTCAGGCCAGATAGATGAGTTTGAACACAGGGTTTATTGTTTGGGTCTGGTGAGCAGTTAAAATGATCCTGTCGAGCAATGGGAGGACATTACTTTCTGATCAATATGTAGTGGAACTTGATGAAAAGGGTAGATGTAGTTGAGTAATGGAATAACACTGAGTGCACATTTAGTGTTTAATACTAAATTAGATTGATACAAGCCAGAGGGGCCTGGAAAACAAAGTCATTATCATTTATTGGGTAGTTGAGATGGCCTTTGTATGTCTTGTGTTGGTTTTAAGGATGATGGGGAAACTAGTTTTAAGCTGCACCTACAGGCACTTGTTTTAGGAGATAACTGGGGGAAATATGTCTGAGAAAAAGGTCAATCAAGCTGTTTTTTAGTCTGTGTTTGTTTTAGTGTTGGGAATGGGATTATAGATTGTCATGACCTTAAATACTGTAATTCTAGCCATTAAAAATGGTCCCTCGACCATAATGGAAAAACAATCTTGGTGTAATTAACCATAAGATATACCACTTTAACCATAATATGGCAGCGTGTCACCCTGGTAACCCGAATAAAAGCTCTGTAATGAAGGAAGTGACAGGATTTGCGCAGCATTGATTTGTATGATATTCAATATATTGATACAATATTAGGCAAAGTAAAATTATCTTGCGGTATGCTTTAAAGGACCATAATAGTGTTTTTGCAAGTTTTAGCTCATTAAGTCATTCAGCATGCATTTTAAATATACAGCTTTAGGTTTTTGATATATTTTTCCTTCTGTTCAACGTAGCCACATACTTTCATACAGTATGAAAATCAATTATATGTTAAGATCCCCTCCAGACATGTATTAAGACATATATACAATAGTTATACAAGAGGCCTGAAACAATAATGTCTGTGTGATATGTTTTTTTTTTAACACATATACTTTAAATATACTTCAGAATCTATGAATATACAAAAGTTTTCCTGCTGGACACAAGATGTCTCCTACTTCACTGTAAAGTCCATTCTCAGTGTTAGTGCACTGGAGGCCTCAAGTTTCTAGATCACACTTGTATAAGTTGCATATTGGACCAGGGTTGACATCCAAAATCTTTTTGATCAATGCTAAAAAAATCATGCTCAAACAAACAGTGGGGTTTGCTAAATGAATGTGATGATAATAAAACATGATTGGGTGGTAAAGGTATTTTATTAGCCCCAAAACAGGACCCTGCTACTTCCCAGGAGTGTCCCATTCGCCATTTTCCCCCCAGAAGTCATGACTCACCCAACTCTGAATCTGACAAAGGGTTTAACCTGAGCCATGCCATATAACAATGATAGCAATCATACAAGCTTTGGAGTATGTGCTTGTTAAAAACTAATAATATATATTTTTATTTTTTTACACATTTATCAGATTGGCACTCAGTATTGGCTGATATGCAAAGTTCAGGTATTGGAATTGGTATAGGGAAGGAAAAAATGGTATCCATTATACATCTCTAGTTCCTAGACTGAAACACTCACTTTTTATCACCATGCAGACTAATGTCCTGTTGAGTCTAGGAGGGACAAAAAGACTCAATAGCACAAAGCTTTGGTTTCCCACGAGGGGGACTGGAAACCAGGATGTTCCATCTACCCTGAGGTGGCTGCTTCTATAGGCTTGTGGCCTTTGACCCCTTTTGCCTTGAGACTTGCAAATCTGCCTGTCCAAAGATTGAAAAAAATCTGGAAAGGGAAACAAAGAGGACTTATACTGAGAGTGATGCAGCTGCACAGCTGGAGCCTTGTCAGAGAGAAAGAACTTTTATTACCATGTGGACATAAAAAGCACTGAGAGAGGAACTTTATGTCACAAAAGGGGGTGAAACGTAGCGTGGTACGGGTGAGGGCTTTTATTTTAGAGGAGTTACTATTTCTTCTTTTACTGATGATGTCGTGGACTAAGTTTGTTGCATAATTCATAAATCCCCTTTGACCTTTGAACAAACTGCGTTCTCCAGTACTCGTTTAAAAAAAAGACATCTTAAATGTTCTGGCTGCCTCTGAGCTCTTGTTTCTGCAGCTTGTTTCAAAACCATTCAGCTTTCTATGTCTCCTTAGTTCTGTGAACCATCTTCAGCTCCTCTGGGCGTCAATAAAGCAGTGATCCCCTGTTTCATCATTTGGTTCTATATATGGATGTTGCATTTTGTTTTGAATTCCAACTCCTGGAGAACCCTTTAATCAAACTACTTACACATATTAACTTGAAAACGATCTTTTCCCAGAAGGATCTCTCACTGGGTGAAACTATTTCATCTGCACCATTTCATAGAGTTTTAATTAACACGACACAAGATGCAGTGTCCTTCTCTGTCATTAGCGAGGAATAAATTCAACTCATTAAAATCTCAGGCTTAATGAAAACACTCAAGACAGATTTGGGATGTACTGAATGATGTATGAAGCTGTGCAGCAGTTGCCATTTTCTCTTGAATTCCAGGCTTTCAATTAGCAGTAGGGCACCAGAGATTGCTGTAGGTGATTTGAATTATAAGAAGTAAGAGTCGCTGAAATGCTGTCTATTGGTGTGCGTATCAGCAATTGGTTTTGATTTGGAAAAAACACTTTTCGTCTTGGACATTTCAATCAACATGTGAGCCGACACCTTTCATTAAGATGGCCTACAGATTGAAGTCAGAACTTGTGATTGCTTCAATATAGTATGCAGGTGCCTGGAAGCTAAAAATGAATAGATAAGAGACTTCCCTCTAAATTGTACATTGCTATTTCAACTGATCTGAACCTGGAAATATATAGAAAACACCCCTAGGTGGGCTCTCTTCCCTTCCATTAGCTCTTTCATTACCTACTAGAAATAGTACCCCAGTATACAGTCACTGATTAAGACATGAATCAAATATTAGTATGGAACTGTCCCTGGGCGAAGGAAAAGGATATGAGCATGAGTGTTTCAAGTTCTGGCCTTTTCATTTTTGTTTTATTTTTTAAAAATATTTCCAGTCTGGCTGACATTATACAATATTTTTCTTACAGTAAACAAACCTCATGAAAAGAATAGTAGATAAGATAAGTATAAATATACAGAAGTAGTTTACTCTTCTGTTCCATAAAGCTTCATTGTTGTCCATATATGTCGAAAAGCCACACTGCTGTACAGGGAGATATGTTCCTTCATTATGATTGTTTTGAGATTACCTGTCTAAATAAACTAACTAACTAGTCTTTCAACAGCAAGCTACAGTGTGTAACATTTAGGAAGGTCTACTGGCAGAAATGGAATATAATATTCATAGGTATGTTTTCATCTGTGCATAAATACCTGAAAATAGGAATTGTTGTGTTTTCGTTACCTCAGAATTAACATTTTATCTACAGAGGGAGCAGTCCTCTGCTATGGAGGCCGCCATGTTTCTACAGCAGCCCAGGACAGATAAACCAAACACTGACTCTAGATAGGGTCTTTTGTGTTTTTAGCACATTTTACGGCCCTCATAGTGTCTTCTTTGTGCTTGGTTGAGTCAATGGGCCTCAGTCTGCAATGTTACCGCTAGATGCTACTAAATCATACATACTGGTCCTCTAAGGTCTGAAGACTGGTCTTCATTCTGCATCTTCCTCAGCGGGGTGAAAGCATTGACAGTATATATAAGGGTGAAAGCTTTTGAAAAAGCTAGTAAGTGGACCATGAGTTAAGATTTTAACTACATTTTCCAACGTTAAGTATAATCTTTCATCATACTTGAGCATCAAACGTGTAAATAAACAAATGCACTATTTAGATAGAGTAATATTTGCTAAAAAAGACTGAGCCTTCAGTAAGAACAATCAGAGCCACAGACAAGGAAGGGAACTTAGAAAGGGTGGAAGGACGGACTAACGCATTGTTGGTTTTGATCTGTTCAGAGGATTTGTTGACAATGCAGAAAACATAGAATAAAACCAGTTTTACCTATTAAAGGGTTGTCGAAATGCAAATCAACTCCAGGTGATGACAAAATCAAGACGGCTGACAAAAATGGGATCCATTTGGTTGACATTTTATTTCATGGTGGTAGGAACACAAGACAAAGGTCATAAAGTTAGTAATGTTCAAGGTCATGCCACTCTCACTTGGTGCACTGCCCTTTGAGGAGGTTTGCGCAGTCAGACAGTAGTTTACAGAGGCCAGACATGGAGGGTAATCCACATGTAGACATAAATAAGGAACAGAAAATAGATTCAAAAAACAGTAAATAGAAGATTTTTTGTAAAAAGCCAGAGGGGACATTTGCAGAGGCCCCCTGGGATTTTTTTTTGTGTATGAGCATTATTACTAATATAATTATCATTATTATTATGTATTACTCATTTACATTATGGGGATGAGGCTAATACACTGGTTAAAGTAAGGAAACGGTTATATGGATGACGTATTTGTCACCTGCTTAGAGTGGAGGTGACCAGTTTTTAAGGCAATTCATAGTTTCCACCCAAACCATAGACTGCAGCTGTATTTATTGTTCTTGAGTCCATCCAAATACACAGGAATCTCTCCTTTATTGAGCGTTACCACCTGAATGGATCAAATTCAAAGAACAGTAGGGTAAAATTAAGACAAGTCTATAGTTAACAGAGTTGGTGCTGGAATTTTAAACGTGTATTGGGACACCAGAAAAGAGTTTCCTGGTCTGGTGTGGACTCTCAGAGCTTGATCACACCCAACAACACAGTTATAGCTTCAGGGCTCTCCCTCCCCCATGTACATAAGTATATAATCGTGTGGGCGAACAGACAAGTCAGACATGGTTCCAGTGTATATTACTAAAAACATAAACCTCCACAGATCACACATTTGCTAAATTTACACTTAAAAATTGCAGGGCTGTACAAAAACAGGTTGTTGATGATTTAAGAAGGAAAACATAATTAAAGGAAGAAGAAAAAAAAAAAATAGTACAAGACCATTTGATACTCAACCACGAACAAGCATGATTTTGTCTCAGAATATTGCCAAGGTTCTCATATCAAAACAAGTGTCTTTAAGTCAGTCATCGCAGCTTATTGTGGTTCAGCAAGGACGACTCCACGTTGCATCAGTTCACTGAATGTTACAGAATTCGCACTAGTAATACAAACCCATGCGTCACTATGTTAATTTGCAAGTACTGTAGGATTATGCATCTTTTCCCATTTTTGCAGCTGTTATGGCTTCAAAAGGTCACAACAACATCACAGTCTCTCTCTCTCTCTCTCTCTCTCTCTCTCTTTCTTTCAACAGCCGAATAGACACTCCTCCGGGAATGCTCCTTGGTCAAATACGAAAAAAGAAATTAAGTCTCAGTTGTTGTTGTTTTTAAGCTTTTTTGTTTGTGTTGCAACTGACTGTTGTCTGACAGGACATTCCCAAGAGTAGTAGCTCTCCCCATGATAAGATCTGTCCTCCTTTATGTCTGTCCATTTCTTCAGTCTTTGCTTTCAGCGCCTCCTTAAGGTCAGATATGGTAACAACTCTTCCCCCTTATGCACCATTCAAGGTCCTGCAAAACTAACAGCTTCCAAGAAAAATAAAAAAGACCAAAAAATAAGACACAGGGAATGAACAAATATAAAACATTATTCTGAGCGCTGTAGTTTCTGAAATCACATCAGTGGAAATACGAGAGAAAAAAGGAACCATTTTATAGTCAAAAACAAACAAACCCCCAAACAGTGACATTTTCCAAATTAAAACGTTTGTTTTTTTTGTGGAACAAAAGTGAACAAAAAAAAAACAAAAACCAGATTCAAACCAACACTGCAGAAGTGCATGCATTTATAGTGGTCATCATTAGTTAATCTGCTGATTGTAAAACAGAACGCACAATAGTACATGAGAAGCACAATTCTCCAAAGAGAACCCATCTTACATATTCACAGTCTCAGGTATTATTTATATACTCTATATTTATAACATTTATTCATGTCTATGATTCATTTCTTGACTTATGACTAATGATATGCGAGTCATTGTGGAACACAGCGCTCTCTCCGTCTCCATCATGTCGGGTTGCAATGTTAGTGAGTCATATTTCAAAACTAAAGGCTCTGATGGGATTCAGATTGAGTGGAGAGTTTTTTCTTTCTTTTTTTGGCGCTGTGAGATGGGGGTTGATCGAGTGGTTTCGACTGTGTACTTTCTCACTGTAGCAGCTTGACTGATATCTGAAAAGTCCCATTAGGAAAATACAGTGGGCTACCGGGGCTGAATACAGAGTTCCTTGACTGGAGACGCCAGCTGGCTGCAGCGTCAAAGAAGCGCACACACCGGCTGCAGCGCACACTGTGTCCAGCTCTCACGGGGGAATGTACGTCTATATATTCATGGATGTATAGGCCATGCTTGGGGAATGTGGACGATAGATATGGCACCAAGACAAGGCAGTAACCAGAGATCATCAGCGAGGTCCACCAGTGTTCAAGTAATGAGCGAGGAAAAGGAGCAGGCTTTTTTTTTTTTTTTTTTAAGTTGCCGTTTGTTTTAAAACAACAAAACTGACGAGGATAAGTGTCTCTTTTTCCCAGAGACGCCTGCTGTTTGAAAAAGATGAAGGGCCGGAGCAGAAAAGAAAAAGAAAAAGTGTGTTCTGTGAACAGAGGTGCAGATTTAAAAAAAAAGAACAAAATATATAAAACAAAAATTAAAACGACATTAATTTTCTTTCCATATAAAAAGCGATGAAAAGTATACAAAAATAGAAAATAATTACAGCAGGAGACATGGGCGCTATGGAGGGAGTGGGTGGGAGGGTTTCTTTTTTTCCGTTTTTCTCAACATTTTGTCTCTGCCGAGTTATTTGGCGGCGGAACAGTGTAATATTTGGGGGCTGTTTAAGGCGTCCTCCACCAGGTGGAGCTCCACGCCGTCCACCACCACGTCCTTGATGCAGCCAACAAAGCCGGTGCTGTAGGCCTTGGGCAACCGACGGGCCACCGCCAGCTCCTCCAGACCACCTGAGGGGAGAGGATGAGATGATGAATCAGCTACTGTACATGAAAACAAGACTCATATCAGAGAATTAGTCCAAACTGAGGCAAGCTGAACCATTCTGCGCACTAAGGCAAAAAGCTAGTTCCTACATTTCCCATAATACAGCCAATAGCATTGTTGCATTAGGCCCTCCATCATACATCTTTCAAACTCCACGTCCACAGTTTGTCCCCTGCCCCCTGCCAAGCTCCTCTGCAGCTTGACAAGACATTACACACCTGTTATCACATTTCACATATTTCCATTTGTACAATGTGTGGAGTGCCCCTTTAAAGATCAAAAACCTGAATAGAGGTTTGCATTTCGTAACAAATTAGACCTTGCAAAGGCCATCAACCGGCTGTAATGGACATTCTTTTGTAGAGAATGTATTTCTGGTACTAAAGCAGTTACTTTGTCTTTGTCAGGCATTGTCTTTGATTTTTTTGCATGATGACACCAGCTGATGAACATGACAGGTTGACACTTTATTTGTTAAACCACCATGATCAAAAGGAGAACGGCAGAAAGCATGCATACCAGCCACAGAATGTTAAGATAGACGAGAGGGAAGGTTCTTCTAATTTGACATGGTGCGTAAAGTGCTCAAAAATACGGTACAAATGAAAGGTGGTGACAGAGTGTAAAATTATGAAAACCTAATATCCTCATTATTTTTAGTGCAAAGCACTCATTGCTGTGCCGAGAGCCCCCCAGACATCCCCTGTCCATCAAGTAGTGCATTCAAAACTGTGGCAGCTTTTTTTTCAACTTTGAGCTGCACTTTTGTTTATCCATGTTGCCTGAGTCTGATCTGCAAATAAAATAAGGTTCGCAATTAAAAGGGCCAATTCACCCAACTATTCAGCTCCACTGTAGAAGAGTGGAAGCCACACCTGCACAGCTAGATAGATTAAAGTGGAAAGACTTTTATTATTTGGAAAAAATGACCCATTAAAGCACTTATAAATTGACTCTCTGAAGTGTTTTATCTATCAGTCATAGAAAGTTTAAAAATAGACATTTCTTAATATATCATGGATTTGTACTTCAAAGCAAATGTTTCAGCCCCTTGTACTTTCCGTTTCGCTTAAACTATACTGCACTTTTTCTTCTATTTCAAATCATTCTCTTTTATAACGTCCCATAACGTCCTTTTGTGGAGACTTGATGACCTAATTGCCGGGTGTGTGGCTGGCTCCTTTTTCCTTTTGATGGTGTTTTGAGCTTCTCTTTTGAGCCAGCGCACCCAAAGTAGTCATTAGTGTCTTTCTCAATAAATCAGCGTGAAACATCTTTATTCAGAATTTCATGAGATCTGTTACTTACCGGGAGAGAGGCTGACCCTAGTTTTTCATGCTTTACCTGGCTGCCTTCTCTCTCTCTCTCTCTCTCATGTTATCTCCAGTCAGAATCCTCCTGCATCCTGTGTCTTTCTTCACTTTGTGTTAATCCAACCTCTTTTCCCCCCTTACACTCCCCATCTCTCTTTCTCTTCCCTCTCTTTTTTGATCTGTCAGGCTGAGAGTTCATATCCCCGTCTAGCTCTTTACATCCCCTGTCCCTGCCCCCTTTAATCGGATTGGGCGCCTCCGAATCGGGGATCGACAGGGCTAATTTCATGCGAGTTACAGATGAATTAATGATGAACAGTGAAAAAGGGGATTTAAAATGGAGAAGGGCCCTCGCTGGGAGGGCTGTTTGAGGATTATGTATTCTTGCTGCAGGGCTCGCTCAGCACCTGTTCCAGAGCACTGCCTCCCCGTGTGTGTGTTTGTATATGTGTATCTGAGTATGCGAGCGCACCTCTACATGCAGCGTGTCTCTTAAATGTCACTCATGCTGCTTCTCCTCTCAAACCTGCCTCTTCGCCCGCCTTGCGCTGTGCATTTTAAAGACCGGCCTGACTTTATTCCGCTGCCCGTCTTCAATGTTATTTCCTCAGAATGTTCAATCCCTCCTTGCCGTGTGTGTTTTCAAAAGCGATTTCTCTGAGTCAAGTTCAGACCAAATTGAACTCGAGGTAGATAACGGGCCGACTTTGGTCATTTTCAATTCAGGAGAGCAGACAACTTTTGAATTTGTCAGATAGCCTTACATTTCTCAACTCAATACCTGAATAGGCTTGGACATTTTTTTTTTTTTTTGCCCAAACCGCAATCTTTTTTGCCTGCCAGAGACTTTGCTTATCCTCTGCAATGCCAATGAGTTCATTGCTCATTTTTGGCAGCCTTCTACCAGTGGCTACGATGAAAAAGTACTACAGAACTACAAGTATTCCCCTGACTTGATGAATGGCAATTGTAGACACATTTTCAATTCTGAATGACATTTTTTTTTCTCTTTTACATGTGTGGGCACCTACCCAACCAGAGTGCTCCGTCTGTGTCCAGCTGTGTTGCTGCCAAAGGCGATGACCCTGTTACCGCTGCCTCATTGCCAACCTGTAGAGAGCCGTCTCTAAGTGCTCTGAGGAGCAGAAAGAAAAAGAGAGAGATGCAGTTGGAAGTCTGTCTCATGCATGCATGTCATACTGAATAGCTGTAAATAGCAGTTTCATTTAATCTGAAGCATCAAGACTCCATTGCTCCACTGCCAGCACACTAAGCACTCACATAACTGCTTTTGCCAAGCAGCGTTCTAAATGTGCCTGCCTACCAGCTAACAGATGCCGCTAGAGCACCATTCATTATAGGTGGCTCAGTGCTACGCATTAGCACACACTTAAGAATTGTGACGATGGGGCTAATTTGAACCCACAAAAGTGGGTTTCCAACAGAGAGAGCGTCATTAAAGGCAAGCCGCAAACACAGATAGCTGTGTAACTGTGAGAGCTGTACACCACATGCTGCGATGTGCGCCATCATCACCATCCAAATTATGTCATCTTCCAGAAACTCTGTGTAAGCTTGGGATGAGATTTGGCGAAATCTCTGTCTGAAATGGATGCAGCGGCTTTTCGAGGATCGATTATTCCTGCCCTACATGATGAAACCGATCTATTTATCCCCCATAATTCCATATGCAGCCATGTTGAAAGCAAATGTTCAGCAGTGATAATGCATAGATCGCATGGAAGGAGTTCATTTGTTTCTGATAAAGTCCACACAACAAACCTGAGGCCAGCATAGGAATACTACACTAACTTTAAATAGGATCAATGTATTTAATTAGTATACTAGTACACAGTGTATATGTGTTAATATAAATACTATGATGAATTATCATTTATTTTATTAATTTATTTCCTGGAAAGATTTCCTATAGTGTGCCAACATGTGTTCGGATGTTGCCACATGTTCTTCCTTTTTGAACATTCAGTAATGTGTCTAAGCAATTCGATGTGCAATGCTTCATACTCATGCATGACCAGGCATGAAAGTAACCTTAATCTGAAACTAATCAGAGTCATCTTAGTGCAAGGGATCACCGTGTAGCAGAGGATTCATGCAAGAGATCACACAGTTTGCAGCACCACAAATACAATATGGATTAAGTTTAATCCTGGTCTCACTGTAAAAAGCTTTTGCTCCTGATCCCCAGCTACCTGCCATCTCCCATCTTACCTGCTGGCCTTGATGCGTATCCAGCGGTTGGTGTCGACACGCACCGAGGAGCGCAGCACCACGGGCTTGGAGCCCAAGTCGTACGTCATCTGGACATGTCCGTCCACGATGGCCAGGGCAATGTAGTCAGAGCGCTCCACACCCTTCCCGCTCCACAGCACCAGGCCCTGGGTCGCCTCCGTCCGGATGCTCAGCTCAAACTTGTTCACCAGCAGAGCCTTCTCACTAGGAGAACAGAAATAACATTGTTAGCTTTCGGTCTAATTCATCAAAATGAGTTCTAATCTTTGGTGGAGCTGACGCAGCTCAGATGTCGTTTGTGTCATTTGTAGTTGCATATGTGAAGCAAGGGACTTCTGCTGTTGTCTCAAGCGTACATTACCCATATTCCAAGCCATGACATATGGTTCTGTGTGCTAGCACATGTAGCCAGGAATCTTTGCAGCTCAGACTCTATTACCCCATCCTAACAGAGTTACAGTGATTTTTAAGGATGCAGACTGAGTTTAAGAGTAGCAGGGGGCTGTTTTGCTATTAGCTTTCCTACTTCCTACTGAGCCTGAACTGCTTTGCTGCTCAGTGCTTCCTGTGTTGCTCTGTGTGTGTGTGTGTTTTAGGCAGCTGTTTGATCTCCAGTCTCTTGACTGCTACAGCGGGGGTGATTTGGATGCAGAGATGAGGCGACTTCCACCTATCCTTAAGAGGCACTGTACATCACAGTCACCAATGTGAGAAAAATATACACTGTGATGTGCCTCTACTGTATGTGCGCACACACACACACACACCATCACACATCCATTACTGCATACAAACACCCTCTGTAAAGTCCCTCTGTTCTTCGTGAGTCCAGCGAAGATACAGCAGACATCCAGAGGATCATGGCTTTAATTTGCGTGTGTTTGTGTGTGTGTGTGTACGATTGTGTGTCAGTCAGCATCTGTGCAAATGTCTGCACATCTGCAAATGGATCTACTTCCATCTTCTTCAAATGGTATTTCAAGACAAAGACAAAGACAAGGTGAGGACACGTACGACAAAGAACCAATGACACATGGATTAAAAAAAACAACAACAACAGCACAGAGCTGGAGACAAAGATTAAACAAGACAGACAACAAGACAAAGGAGTCAGCATAGCAAGCAGAGAGGCTCATGGGAGTACAAGCAGGACAGGAAATAGGAGGGGATAATGAGAAAGTGAATATAGCAACTTCTCACTTCTTACACAGTAAGAACTATTTCTCAGTATCTTCCTGTCATTAATGAGCAAGAGTAGAAAGAGCATCGGGTATGGAAGCAATGGGATGATATTTAACTTCAGTTTATTAACTGCTGGCCTGTGGTATGGCAACATTGAAAGCTCAGACCAACAATAATGCTGGTTCACCTCAGCAGAGGGGTGGAAAGAATCCATAATCAAATTAGATTTTCTCCTTCAAAAACATGCTTAGGTTGGAAACGTTGACCCCCTTGATTAACTAAATCTGCTGAGGTAAACAGACTAATAAAAAAGTATGATTTAAGAGCATCATGTCTTTCTTTTTTTTCTTCAGAGAGAGAGAGAAAAAAAGAACACAAATACAGCTCAGTGAACCCTCTCCTGGCAAACCCTCAAAGAGCTTACAGGGCCCAATAAATCTCCATCGGAGCAGCTTGTCAGTGATAAGGTCAAGGTTATTAAAAGTGCTGAATATATCATGAATAAAACAACGCCGGCGCACTGAGTTCTAAATCTCATATACAACACTGACTTCATAGATTTCTGGAGTGTTGCTGTTTCTTTTTGTAAATGGAGGGATTTTATCTACTCCATATATGTATTCAAATTCTCAGGAGGCTTCTCAGAGTGCTGTCCGCTATTTAAACTCCAGGTGGCAGTAGTGGTTAGAATAATAAAAAGCCATCAGGGAAGACAGTTGCTGCAAAGAGGCTGCAGCTCTGGCTGGTTTTGTGCTGTTATCAGAGCTCTGAACTTCAGAATTAATTAAAGCCTATGCAGAGGCTCTTTGTGATTCGTATTGGTAACTCTATCTCAATAATGGAAACAATGTTGTCTCTGCGGAGGAGGGTTTAGCCCTGTGAGAGGTCAGGGAGGGGTTGTCTGAAGAGGTGGGGTTGGATGAGGAGGCAAGAGGCGAGAGGCGAGTGGACAGCACCAAAGTCTAAAAGCTTTTGAGAGACTCACCTCTGGTCAGATGGGTTCTCCAGAGACTCGGGACTTAAGGGAGCAGGGGAGAAAGTCAACGGCATGCAGTGTAAGCGCAGGAGGCCAGAAGGAAAGAAGGAAGGAGGGAAGGAGGGGAGGAGGGGAGGAGGGGAGGAGGAGGGGAAGGGTGTTGTGAGCCCACTGGGTGACTCACAGAAGTCTGGTTTAGACCCGGAGCTGCAAAAAGCATAACTTATCTGCTCTACTACAATATCGACCATGTCAACAGTCGATAACAACTGTTGTGTGATCATACAAAGTGTGTAGCTTAGCCCTGATCACACCGCAACCATAAAAGGAGGTTCTCAAGGGAACTAGTCGGATCAAGATGGATGACTAATGCACCAAAATGCCCTGGGATGAAGCATTTTTTAAACGTGAGCATCAAGATTAAGTACATTCATGGTCAGTGTCCACACCAGCACAAAAGGCTACTTTAAGTCAGCGTCCAATTATTGAATAACTCCTTTATATTTATGGCGCTGCACGCCACAGTGCCAATTATCTTCTGTCTGGCGATGGAAGCGGTGAATGAGAAAAATTGGGCAATTGTCAAAAAATGGGGTCAAGCGCCATATCAGTTGAGAGCCATGGCCAGATATGATTTGTCACTGAAATAATGGGGTTTGAGCAAATCGACCGCAGCTTTCAGATACGGGCGGAGAGGTGAAGGAGGAGCGATCAAAGGGTGCTGTAAATAGTAACAGAAACATTAACCCAAGGTGAGCGCTTGACATTTTGGCCTCACTCGGCTCTTAATGGCCTCTCGAGAAATGCATTCATTTCTTTTTACAAAAATCAAATCACGCTGAATTGATCAGCCTGCCTTCAGAGTGCTGCGCCAGGGCTCTGGTTTGCTTAGATTCACGCTCATTGTGGCTCTTAGTAAATGTGACATCCATTAAACTTTTGACAGTCTGGCTCCAAGGACCACTGTCCCCTCCTGCTAAGTGAGACTGATGCCCATGGCTACACACTGTGGAGAGATCTCAATTGGAGGTCTAATCTACAAAGGGAGACAAATCTGTGATTAACATGTCAGTGCCTCTCTGTACGGCCGACTCCGTAATTATTCACAATTACAGTTAGAGATCTGGCAAAAACGAAATGACAGAAGCCCTGGCATGGATTGGAACTCTGGGTTGAATCCAGTCGGCTTAATTTGAGCTGAATTCTGCTTCGCTGCTTTGTGGGATTTTTAAAAAAAGAGGTTACTTACCAAGCTAATGAGCAGGAAGAAAACCCTTAATAACTAAGTCATGACTGAGGGCTTTCCCAAGCAGAAACTCTGCAGGCACCAGAAACTAGGTTATAGGGTATTTAGTGTATCCTCCTCTTACAGTTTTCAAGGGGTCTCATTCATTTCATAGCAATAATGCCATTCAGCGTAAAGTGCGTGGCATTTCTTTTGTTTATGAACGAGTTACAACCATGCATAAAATATTGCACATTCTTTGTACAGCAATTCATTTTCTCTGAGGGTTTGAGCACAATGCTTATCATGCACACATTCATGCTTCCCTTTTGTACTGGAAAAAAAGAAAGCATCTAATGATGTTGCAAAATTTATTCAAAATAATGAAATCTGTCAAATTAAATCATGGATATGGAGCATGGATGTAAAATCGGACTTAAACGGCAAATATGATTTCTGTGTGGAAATTATGACAGGAAACTGAATGTGCTTTAATCTCTTCAATTGGGTTAACTATCAAAAATGGCTTTTTTTGGTTGCTGTTAGTTGGGCTTGATTCGAAGCTGGGCAGCTACCCAGTCGTAAAGTCTACTTACTCTGGGATCTCATTGGTCAGTTGGCTTGAGTGAAAAGGAAAGACAGTGAAGGACATTTATATGAGACAAGACATGTGCGGACAACAACAAAGGGTGGTCAGACTGAGGGACGGGACAAAGAGTCACGCGACTGGACCGCTTAGATCGTGGACAAACAGCAAAGATACACATAGGACACACACACACACACACACACATATATATCCGACAGAGTTCTCCAGCCAGTTGTTTCTGAGTGAGTGTGAGTTGTGTTTCTCCATGGGAGTGTGATGATCTGCAGACTGTGGCCCGGTTTTCACACCTCTGTGTTTGTGTGAAGAGCTGTGAGTCGAAGATATACAGCCGTATGCTTGATGTCTTTTCAGGTTCATCACATAAACATTTTTGTTTGTGCCAACCTGGAGGCGCACTCTTGCCAACCTTGTAGATGGATGGAAGAGTAAAACTGTCTCATCAGCTGCCTAAAGGAACAGGATCTCTTGTCTTGTTTTTTTACACCTGCTCAAGAAACCGCTTTACACTCGCGTCATCAGCTTCGCAGGCGACATGTCTTTGGATGCCAGTTTTACACACATTCAAAATGAGGAGAAAAAGTTGAATCATGCATGCGTGCTTATTGTCCAGTCTGTGCTAAGCGGCAGACCACAGAGCAAACTGAGCGTGCTCAGGGCAACACTGTGATTGTTAACCGTCTCGCTAATTAGTGAAATCCTGTCAAAAGCGGAACAGGACCGCCATGGACAGGGGGGGGATGAGCTATTAGCCAAGTTCCTAGTTCACCCTGAAGCCCTAACTCTGATGATATCATCAACAATGTTATCACGGCTTACCAAGGGAGGAGATGGATAGACAGAGAGGTTATTTGGCTAATAGCTATTACAATGGAGATGTAGGGTGAAGCTGAATATATGAGGATGTTCCCCTTGTCCTCTTCCTTACCTCCTTGTAACGGCGTTGTGGTACTCAATGAACGTCCGCCCGTCAAAGGCGATGGCCTCGGTCTCTCCAGCAGACTTCTCATAGATGGCTGTGAAGGTGTGGGCGGGTTTGGGGGGGGGGGAGAGAGAGAGGATTGTTCAGAGGATGAGATCACACCAATCAATAAGACAGAGGGTTCAGTTATTGGAGCCAAAGGCAATGGAGTGTGAGCAAATGGGGCGATGAGGGGAGGGGGGCTGTTGGTGCATTTGTACTTTTAATTAACGTGAAAGGGACAGCCGGCCACACGCGCAAGGTTAATGGCAAAGGCAGTGACTGAGTATGTAAGACAGATCGGGCCAGAGTGAGTATATGTCTGGCAGAGTGACGGGGAAGATGATGATGAAAAGGGTGTGCAACTCTTGAAAAGAGCATTTCATGAATATTCAGTCGACACGCTTCATCATTTTCATAACTGCCGCTTAAGTTTGAAATCAATACACAATAACCCTAGCATAAAAGACACATCATATGTCTAATATCATTGTTCATCATCATTTCATTGTTATCTCGCTTACGCAGGACACAATGGAAAGATCTTTTAAACAGAAAAAACATAGCCTAGTAATTCACCTACCAGTGACGCAAGCCAAGAACAAGCTGCGTTATTGCATAAAGCTCCGGTATCAGTGATTGCAGTCCCACTCATTCTACGCTTTAAAAGCAGCCAAAATGCTGCCACATATCCTTTTAGAGTAAAACCAAATAATGTTGGCCGAGCAAACAGAACAAATTGTACAGTTACAATGACTCACTGCAATTTCACACTGCCTTTAAAAGGTGATCTCAAGCCAGCAAGTATTGCTACACACTGGATTACACGTCCTTGTGATATTTAATATATTTAGGCTAATAAATGTTGGCATCAAGATCGCCTGTGGCTCTTTGACTTGAAGTAGGATGAAGACAGATGTAAAATGGCTGTGGGATACTCACTGTTCTGACAGTGTCCCCCTGAGAAACCATTGAGGCAAACGCATTCGTAGGTGTCCAGTTGGGGGTTGCAGCGGCCGCCATTGTGGCAGGGCTCCTGGGAACACAGGTGGCTCTGGAACATGGCTATGTTGATGGAGCGCATGGCATTCTCCTCTCTGAGGATGGGGGTACCCATCAGAATGATCTGGGAGCAGAAAACAAAGGGTTAAAGGGACCCTGAAAATGGCCACCCCATTATCCTTACCTCTTCCACTCCACACTGGCTTTCAGAGCCTGTGTCAGGCTCCATTTTAAAGCTAAAGTGAACATATGATATGAAACTAGATGACCTACCGTATCCATTGTTACTAAACATCTCATGCTGGCATGTTGGGAAGGGGGCTAAATAATGCTCCAAATTTAGGCAAAATTTGGACGATTGAAAAACTGGCATGGCCATTTTCAAAGGGATCCCTTGACCTCTGACCTCAAGATATCTGAATATTCCTGCATCCTGGAGTCTGTGAACAGTATTGGAATTGCATAAAGTGGGAATGACTGGAAAGCTGAGATACATACTTCATGCCACCCCTGCATAAGTCAGTGCCCCCCCAGTCAAAAAAGTAGGTTGTAGGTGAGACATGAAGACCCCAGAAGCTCAATTTATATGCCTGGTTTTAACATACAGGCTGGATTTTTCTATTCCTACATTCTGAACCAACCTGCCTGAAAGATTAGGCCGCTAAATGAGTATAATCTCATTAATCACTTCTTAAAAGCTATTTTCATAGACTTGTATTTACATAACAGTTTTAATATTAATTGTTTTTGACCTACTTTTGGAGGGTTACCTTTATGATTCTTGTCTTGCTTTTCACTGCTTTTGTTGTCACATTTATCTGATTTTATTTTCCTCTCTTAGCAAAACACTTGAAGATAATCATTTGTTTCTACTCCTGGTTGTTGTCCAAAGGAAAGCATCAAATTATGGGGCTTTTCCCTTTTTTTTGCTGAATGATCATTAAACCTAATTATTACAACACATGCTCAGAGCAAACAACAGCGTAGAGCGATACCGTGAATTCCTTTTAAACATGTTCTCCCTGTAGATATGACATTTTTACCACACAGGAAAATGTCTCTTTAAATTAGATGTCGACACAACACACATGTTAAACAGGGACATCAAACTGAGAGTACATCCCGTCTTCCTCATAATTAACTATTCCCTACAGGCCAAGTAAGACAAACGCCACATTTAGCTTTTGATTTGCTCAAAAACTGTCAAGGGAAAGTTTGCAGAGGAGAACTAATGACAAGTTTGCACAAACAGTAACATCCTGCCTTTGTTCTACTGGGTTATTTTTGGCACTCAGAGATGAGCTTTTTGCTGGAAAGTGGAGAAAAAAAAACTGGAAGGCTGTCAGGGAAAGATCTGAGAGTAGCGAAAGGGAGGGACTTCAAAATGTGCATTCTATTATTAGTGCATGCTAATCCAAATGAGCAGAGTCACTGCCCGTCACAGTGTGAGCTTATAATGGAAAATTACTATTATGGGGCTCTGTTGTATGACAGCTGGACAGGCTAATAACTTATCATTTGAATTTGCTGCTGTATATCCGAGGGCACAAGGGCCCCGATTCATTAAAATAACACATATAGATTAGTCGAAAGCACAGGCAGAGCTGATTATACAAAACTTCTTCAAGAAAAAGAGGTTTGTAAACATTTACCTTTTGGATTGTTCCCTTGAAGCCATCAGTAAGTGCAGCGACTCTTGCGAGCCGGCTGTAATCGGGAGCTCCGCCGACAAAAAGAGACTCTTTCAGGTTAAGATCTACGTGCAGGTTCTGATGAGACAGGACACAGGGAGGTATCAACTGGTGAGCTAGAGCCATGCAAACTTGAAATAAGCTCCACATATATCTTTAAAAATGCCCAATTTAGTCTTTTCCATTATCCATCTGCAATGTCTCTCAGGGGATTTCTGTTCAGGATGTAATGGTTTATGCTTTTACTTTAGTGAGTTACGTGTCCAGGGAGCATGGTATGTATCCTCTTAGTTGGGATATATAAGAGTGAGATAAACAAACCACATTTGCAGACATGTCGCAGTAATATAGATTGTCCCATTAAAAAAAAAAGGATTTATCCATATTGTAGCCGGCAGACGATTTAACTGCACTTCCTCGCCCTCTTTCCACGTCAATACACTTGATACATTACAACATAATTGATTTCTATGTCTCTCAGAGAGAGCGGTCAATTATCCTCTATCTATGAGAGAATAAAAAGGGACTACAAAGGCAAATCAGGAGCAGGCTGGACTTGAGATATGGATGGTTCTTTACAGACATCTCTAATGAATGGCTGATCATAAGCACCGACCTTTCAAACAGTTGAGTGTGGAGACACATTAATTGCAATTCATTTGCGCAGCAGACGGCTATGAAATTCGATTCTTTCCACTAAACCTTTGGGACAATTGCTTTGCATTAGCAAGGTGCCGGTTCCTTCTTTTGCACGGAGGAGTCGGCCCACTTCAGAAGGAAGGAATTAATGATCTTTATTTTATGTAGAGCAGTAATTGCCAGAGGGGTAAAGTGGAGTTAATTGCTGGAAAAATGATGGAAGGGGCCAAATAAACAGGCTTTGTGCAGGCAAGCTGGCACCGGCTCGGCTTTTATTTAGGATGGGATTTGGAGTGCAGGAGGCAGCGGTGCTTGGCTGAAGCCCGGGGCTGTGTGACTGCACCTTGAGCCGCTTCCAACAGAGACAGGGTGGCAACCTTGGCCACAAAGCTGGTGGACCCAGCTGTGGCCGGTGCCTCTGGGCTCAGCCAAAAGTTGTTACCGATTGCAGGGCACAGTTGGCCCCCTCAGGCTCTTTACGTAGACCTCACTGCTCTGCAACACTCACTTACTCTGCAGGTGAAAGTTACGGATGCATTTTGACCCCCGTTCCCCTGTACTTTTTGATCTTGTCCTGAGATGTTACACCTTCATAATGTGGTACCGAGCATATGTAAAGTTACTTTTCTAAGACTCTAAAGTGAGATTGCATGCAATGAAATAGTGCATCATGTTCTGTTCTGTTTGAAACAGGCGATAATCTGCACCTGGTGAGAGAGGACAGCTGGTTCTATGGAGTGATTCTTGCTCAGTGATGTTCGGTGAGCTTGGTTTTGTGTTGATATGGGAAAGTGAGTGGGTGAAAGAGTGAGCGACTTTGTGATATTATGGAGGACTGTTCCCGTTTCCAAAAGAAGTGAGAGCAGATGACAAAAGAACAGCACGGCTTGGCTTGGCACCTCACTGTCTCCTACGGTATATTTCCTCCCCTTCACTCGCCTCCCCTGCCTTCGCTCTCACTTTTCGACAGCCACGCGGCATTGGCGTGATATCCCCGCCTACGCCGGACTAATGAAGACGTTTCTTTGTTGCTAAAAACAATGGCAGTTACAAAGATGACCGTCACCGTTCCTTCTTTCCTCCCACCTTCCCACCCTCTTCCACCCCCACGGCAGATGGACCGAGGTGAAAGCCAAACCGTGTTCTTTAAGAGCATCTCTACTTCAGTGCCGTTTGTGTGTGCGTGTATGGGGCTTATGAAATGGCAGTTTTTCTACAGAACTGGAACCTTTGAAGCTGCCCGCAGCTCTGCAGAAGTACCTTTTTTTTCTGTGCTGTTGTTGCATGGAGAGATGGGGGTGAGAGGACGTAGTGAACGACTCAAATGAAATATGGGCTAAGGTGTGACTGGGACTTGTCTCATTACCTTGCGTGATTTCTTATTTCCAGACAGCACATCATAGAGAAGAAAAGAAAATAGGGAGGAAGAGAGTTATTAGGGGAAGACTAGTAGGTGTCTGTGCACAGAGAGGCATGCAGAGCTAGGCAAGTGCAAAAGCCCCACAAAACACACACTCACATACAGACATATACACACTGTGCACACCTGTAGGAGCATTAAACATAGCTGCAGTGTAGCACAGACAAGTGAGATTAGTCCATTAAATAAGAATATGGGAAATGTGAAGTGCACCTTTGCATTATAAACTGTACATACACAAACAACGACAAAGCTGTACAAGTGTGTGTTTACACTTGACTACAAATTAGACAGCAAGTTGAAGAAGGCCATGCATGAAGCAGATGGTGCCACTGAGAAAAGATGAAAAGGAAAAAAAAAACTTCATGGATGAGAGACGGTGAATAGTGCCACTTAACCCAACCTCATTTACAGACTACTGCCATTCAGTGAGAGGTGAAGTACATTTTTATATCTCCTATCTGTGCCTATGTCCCTTTGAAAGTATACTTCATCATGCTGGCAGACTGAGCTGTGTTTGAGATGATGAACACTCCCAGCATGCAGTATGTACCCATACATGTGCCTGCGTGTGTCCACCTTTGATATGATATCTGCCTCTCTGAGCAAAGCGTACTATAACTCCCTCCTAGTTCTTAAAGCAGGAGTAGGAGAGAATTAGCTGAGAGCCATACTGGATGGGCTCTCTGCATTGAGCTCCATAACTAGTCTCAGCTCATCCCTTGCCCCCCACCCCCCACCCCCTCCATCTTCGCTTTTCCCTTGCTCTCCTCTTTTAATAAGATTTTCTGCCTCTGTTGCTGGAGTAAAACACAATTACCATACGGACGATGGGAGGCAGTGGGGGAAGGACAGAGCAGCGAGAGAAAAAAAGGAGGAGAGCGTTGCGTCTTAGAGGAAGATGATGGAGTTGACAGAGTGCATGTTCATAATCACAAATTACACTGTTTAATATAATTGGATGACTTACAGGCTTATCAAGCTATTAGATCGCCTTCATTTGGAAGCATGTACCTGCTTTATTGGTCGAGACGCGGGGCTGAAGAGTTTCATTACGCTCTTCTCGCTGCTGCTATCTCCTTTATCTGCCTCCACATCCCCAGACACCACCTCAAAGGCTGAATTTATAAAATTGACTGTATACCAGCAGTAAAAGCTGCTTTTGCTTTCTGTATGCAACACCAAGTTTTATCTCCAGTATGTCAGCAAGCTGAAAGATGGAGTTTTTTTCTTTAAAAAAAGTGGAATTACAGGACTTCCAAAATTAAGACAGCTTGTCAACCTGGCCCTCTACATCTGGAGCTCTCCCTCTTACCTTGACGGATTGCGGGAGATAGAGGCGTTTTTTCAGCAGATCAAGCCGGCAGTACTGCGTGGTGTGAAAAACCTCAGCAAAGGGGGAAGGTTTGCTGATTCAACTGTGCCTAAAGTGGCGAGTTAAACTGCCTCTACAAGGGCAAAAAGGAACACTAAAGCCCGAAGGTTGTGGCGATGACGTGATAAAGAGCACGCAGATGATCAAACAAATGCAGTATATACGGGACAAGCAAGGCTTAGCATAGAATAGGCCCATCAACCCTTCATGCTCAAAAGCAAGATAACCATTAGCGGCAGCTTATTAACTTGCTCTTCCTCACCGGTGCCTCCCCTCGGACAGGGTCCTTCTTGTTCACCATGATCTCTCCTTTGCGGTTGGAACGCTCCAGGTTGATGGTGTTCCACACGTTCAGCTGGATTGGGTCCTTACTCCTGAATTGCACATACTCAGGTGAGTCATACACTAGTAAACATGGGCTCATTAAAAACACATTGCTGTGTTTAGTATGTCCTTTAACCTGTAGCATGTTCAAATGTAATTTTATAGGATTATAGCACCCCAAATTTAAGAAGTTGTTGGTTGTGTAAGTAAAACCCTCTTAGACGATGCTAACCTGATGGTAGCGGGTCCCTTCCCCAGGTCGTAGCGGAACTCCAGGATCCCGTCATTGAGGGACAGTGAGATGAAGTCTCCTTTTCCGTCCGATTTTTGGCCGTTGTAGAAGATCAAACCGTTGGAGTCATTGGCCATGAGGATCACTGTCATGCTGAGCTTTTGACTGCAGGCATAGCACAAGAAAAGCCAGTAAACACATGCAAGAGTCAGAGATACACTACTATACTTACCCGAGATAGAGCAAAGGATGCTTGTTTTAGGTGTGCCGGTACTCTTTCTATATGGAAATTAGGTAGAGTATACTATATATTCTACGTGCTTAGGCTTAGATAACGTGTTATTTGTGTAACCTTCATTGTCACTTCAGTTCAGGCTTTAACAAGGCAGCTCTGCCTTAGGCACAGAACAAGCTCAGCCTGTGAAAACCACACACTATCGTGTGTTTAGTAATACATACAAGTATTGGGTTTCACGCAGAGACATGGGACTTACCGCAGGTCGTGCCCGTAGAGATGGAGTCCCTTCAGCTCCACGTAAGAGTCTCCGCTGAATAGTGGCATGTAAGCCCCTCTCCTCTCAGCCACTGGAAAAACAAAGAGACTATATTCATCCTCAGGTCGCGTTTTGTGTTGCTGACAGAATTGAAATTCGGGGATAGTCAGTATATCTTTTGAGGGACCTGTCAGCATTATGGAAAGAGATGGATTTGTGTTTTCATAGCCATTGGGATTAAGACTTTCTCTTGACAGAAATTCAAACAAAAAAATTCAAAAACCCTTATGTCAGACTGATTACACAGCCCGCCACAGTATAACAAAGAACCTTTGGAGACATGAGTTTAATACCACAGCCGGGACCCATGAAATAATGCAGCCATTGTTTTTTGGCAGGCCTTTTTACAAATTCATGTCTTTGCGATGGGTCTACGTCTGGCTGTCCCGTTTCTGGCTGTCTGCAGTGATTAGGACAGGCACCGTGCCATCCTTCTAACAAGTGGCTTGACATTAAAAATCATTCAAGTGTCACCCGGGGGTATGTGTTTATGGTGTTGTTTGCAAAAACTACCATCATTCAGAGGCGTATGCAAAACGAGACGCTCACACACACACATATACACACTCAAACTAACACACGTACCTATGTAGACGGCAAGAAAGCTTTTATTCGTAATTGGCTGGGATTAGCAGAGTCGAGTCAGGATGGGGAAGGCAGACGGAGATGAGAAAGCTAATTAGCTATTGTGCAGAAGACTGCTAATGATGATGGCACGCACCATGGAGGAGAGGGAAAAATAGTCTTGCACACACTACAAGGATTCGTGCGCTAAACTGAACTCTATTAGAGTCACAGAGCTTCTCGGAATGTAGTTTCTTATAAAGGAGACTCTCTTTCACCCTGTGCTCAAAATCAAAAAGCAGCGTGATCAATAAGTCACCAGAGGTCCAGGCATTCGAATGAGCTAGGTGACCAGAAAAAGCCACATGACGAGTAGAGCTTGACGACCAAGAAAAGTCTGTCAAGTTGGAACTTTTCACAAATTATCTTTTGGTAAAACGAAATAAACCCTCCAAAAGCAATACTTAAGGAGCTATTGCATCTAGCATCTCCCTCACACACGCCCAAACAGGCACACAAGCATTAGCTGGCCCCTGGATTATTCTAACCAAGGTGATGAATGTAAAACGTTAAAATTTAAACTCGCCCCTTCAGTTAGGTTTTCAAGGAGCGGCTGAATTCAAGTGATCCGGTTTTCATCACTAAATTGCAATGATTTACAGTATCACAGGGTAAAAGCACAGAGAAAAGTAGGCCATTCAATACTATTGGAACACCCTTGAGAAAAGCCCTTGATGGTGGATATTATAGCAGTGAGCTGCACCGACGAACCCTGGTGGAACTGAAATGGAAACCATTGCTCAACTGAACGCGCACACACACAGTAGGTTACACACTTAATATTATGACTAATTCATCTTCAGGCGTCTGATGAGTGGGCTCTAAGCTACCTGTCTTTTTAACTGTTCTCAGTGCAGCCCTGAGAGGGTATGTCCGCCTGACTGCCGCCTTATCTGTGAGCTCCTGTCTGGGGCTGACACTCTGGCTGACTGACGCTCCCATAAATCACTGCGGGCAGGGAGGACTGATGCGATTAGTCATCTCATTGATTCCTGTGAAAAAAAAATAGCCTTTTGGAAGGGGAGAAGCTCTCGCTCACACGGCATTGATTTTGGTTCACCTCAATTTATTTTAATCACCTGCTAACTGGGACTTGGGGCTTGGAAGAAGGCGATCCCAATCTGGTTTTTCCAAAATCGTGGGGGTGCAGAGGGTGCATGTTTCTCTTTTGTTAGGAACGTGGATGACAGTATATTCTCTTTCATTCACAGTTACAGAAGTCAACTTCACTTCTGCAAACAGTCACGACAACATCTAAAAAGCCAGGGAGGGAAAAACCACGGGTAGACTTCCGAATGCGACACCGCCAAAAGTGCTAATGATGAACTTCAAAAGCAGCTGAGCCGTGCTCTGGTCTTTTCCCCAGCCGCGGCCCGGTTCTGCCATGTGGAGCTAAGCAGCAACAACAATGTTTGAACACAACACCTGTGGGCGGATAGGCAGGGAGGGAGGGAGGGAGGGAGGGAGGGAGTGGAGGAAGAATGCAGCTCCTATGCCGCTTACCCACTAACAAGCACAGCCGAGTCGATGTGGTGAATGGCCCGACGGGGCCAATCATCTCCCTCAGTTCTGCAACCCACCAACCCTCCCATCCCCTCCCACCCTGAAGGCTCAACCCCCCACCCCCCTGTCTTTCTCCGTTTGATCTCACTTTTCGATTCAGCATGGATGGAAATGTCACAGAGCGGAAAGGAAAAAAAAAACACAAAAAGAGGCAAACCAGACCAGAAACACTGCTGCTCCTTGATAAGCACTAAAGAGAACAACTGGGCCCTGACGTTACACCACGATATACACTGTTTAGTCGGATTACCTGTTTCGCAGTGCCGCCCTTCACGTCCCATGGGGCACTCGCATTTGTAGCCTCCCTCGGGCAGCGCCTGGCACTGGGAGGATGGATGGCACCTGTTGGGCTCGCATGGATCATGGACGTCAGCACAAGTTGGACCTGGAGACACATACAAATCCACAATGAGAAAACCACCAAACGCTTTCAACTACTTTCTCTTTTATTCCATCTGAGAGGAGGGGGAGACAAAAAAAAGGGGAGAGAAGCGGGGTACGAGGATTTCCTCTGTAATAGAGGTCATTTTCTAATAGGATTTAGAAATATTACACGTCCAGATTAAACAGTGGAGAGCCTCCCCGCCATGCGGCCATGTTTCTGGGCCAACGCTGACTGTGGGAAATGCTCGGGAGCGTCTGGTGGATGATGGTTTTGCCCTCTGCCACAGCCCATCTGAATTCACCCGTCATTACTTTAGCAGTCAGAGCCTGTGGTGAGGAGAGCGCTTTAATGAACCCCATCCCCGCTGTGCTCACAGGGCTCCCCCGTTTTTCCTCACTCATGCCTTTGGAAGCTAGCTTTTATCCTCCGCTCTCACTTCTTCCCTACCACAGTTCTTTTTTTCACATCGCTCCCTCCTCTCCCATCTTTTTTTTTTTTTTTTTTTTAGCTCTAATACTCACTCACCCCCCTCATTCATCAGGCTGTCCTGACATGTCCTCTCTCTCACTACAACTCTCTATACACATTTATTCTGTCTTTCTTGCTTTCTGTGATCTGCCCCCCCCCCCCCATTGAGGCCAGTAATCTCGGCCACTTTCTTAACTGACATGATGACAAAATTAACTTGAATGTGAGTCTGCAGGCGACGGTCCAATTCTCATTATCACCATTTTTTTTTTACGCCATGTTGCCAACACAACTTTGATCACAGCAATGCTTCTTCAGAGTGGAGCATTATCTTTGCTTCTTCCAGGCCTTCTCAATAACAACAAAACATAAAAGCACCTCTTATATAAAAGGCAATAATAATGTAATGTGATACTTTATTGATCCACATTTTAAATTCAATGGCTCTTAAAATTTAAAATGTGGTTTCCCTAACCACTGAGCTGCCCCCATATGAGTATAAAACCCTTTACTATTCCAGCATAAAAGTTAACTCTGACATTTAATTTGGTTCTGGTGTGAAACTTTGTGCAGCAGACTGTACAACCAGCAAGGGGCATGCTTGGCTAGGCCCTGATGGTGTCTGCTCTTAACTATACTCTCTCTGAGTTGCTTGTTAGTTGGCATCTGCTGGAGTGAGAAAAAAGAGGAGGAACGGATGTAGAAGACGAGATAGGCCAAAGGCCATTCACTGAGCATTTGGTGGAAGTTTTCATGTTTTCTGTGCCGTGTCAACATTTAATCTCTCATTTCTCTGCTGGACGCACATATTTGATGGTGTTGGTGTTTACAAAATGACTGCCAGCGCTCCTGCTGGGGGCATGAGTTACACTGTCAAATTAGGCTGTCAAGCTTACTTAGGATTTGTGAGAAAGTCCTGACCACAGTGAATCCCAGAAGAGAAGGCAAAGTAGAGACATGAACATAATTTTAACAAGTTGTTAGAAAAGTCTGGAAATTTCACATAAGAATGAATATATCCTCTACTTATTCCCTTGTTACTTACACTGAAATAAAGTTGTTCTGTCACAATAACTACTTATGTTGGACGATAGATTGTCCTAGAAATAACTGCGATAAAAGCTATTATTGCCATTTTAAGACCATTTTGTGCCACTGATATATGATAATCACAATAATGCAAGTGTACCCTTTCAAAGAGCAATGGACTTAATTCTTAAGAATATTCAGGCACTGGAATTTGGAAAAAGGATTAAAATAGCATTGATAAATAAAACAAACACAACCAAAACAATACATAAAATGGACTAGGCTGTGTTCACAAAAACTGCACTTGTTGGCACAGGGGGAGGCTATAGAGCCATGCATTCTTTATCAGGCAATAAAGTGATGGTAGGGAAAACCGTGCTTTTTATTCGCGGATCATGCTGGCTAAAATGTTGGTGACGCATACTCATACATAGTATGTCAATATCGTAGTTATTGTGACGGCCGGGAATAAACCTCTCAAAGCTTCCATGACTTTCAAGAAATCCCAGTATGACGCTCCCTTTTGTTTGGTATCTTACCCCAGAATCCTTTGCTGCACTTGCAGTGGAACATCTCTGCCTCCTTGGCCTGGCATGCAGCACCGTTCTTGCAGGGATTTGGCTGACAGGGGTTGTTGCCGCATTCACCCACACCGCTGCCATACAGACTGTCGCCGCCGTTCTCCTGCAGGTTGAGCACCCGGTTGTTGACATCCAGCATGCGGATGCATCCCACCAGGCCTGTGGCTACTGCCGTCCTTTCCTTTACACTAAAGAGGAAAAGATAAAGGGAAAGAATGTAATGTCTTTTTTCAACACAACGTTTGACAGAGCCTGCAGTTGCAATTATTACACTACTGACCCTCACTTTATAACACAGAGTTTGGAGTAAAGAAGCTCTTCCATGCCGTGTGCTGTTTAATATTTCTGATACATTTAATGCAGCAATGTACCTCAATATACTACAATAAGGGATGAGGTCCAAGAATAATTTTAGTCTTATTAGTTTCTTTTCAGCTGTTGATTGACTTCAAATCTTTACTTTTTTTCCAAGACTATTCAAATCCCATCGGTTCAAAATCTCATTAACTGCTTAAATACAGAGCTGATTCATCTAAAGTATATTGACATGACTCTCAAGTACAGTCCTATAAGACTAACGGATGATCCAAAATTCATCCAAAGAGCATATTTTACCATCAATTAGTGCACATCCAAGACATTCTCACATTAATTTTAACAATGAATTGCTAAAACTAGTGCTGGAATAATGAAAAGTGAAGATAGGATAGTTTAAGTGACTGTATCTCATTACAACACGAGAGATCAGTGTCTTGAAAATCATGTCTTTAGTCAACTAAGACTGGAGATCCACCTAATGGAAGTAAGTAAGGAGGTCCCACATTCACCAGGTCAGTTGGTTTGGAGTAATTTGGAGCACATTTCTAAATAAATGAGTTAAAATGGTTCACAGTTAATTTTTTTCCCCCACAGGGTTAATCTGGCAATGAGAGATATAGGTAACAACAACAACAGAATTAGTCAGCAAAATGGACAAAGTGCAAGATTCAAAATGAAAAGCTGCAGACTGAAAGGTTTCATCTAAGAGAAGCCGGTTAATGGACTTTCTGTCTGATTTGCTTCCTGCTCTGGATCTTATCATCACATTGTGTAACAGCAGATCGAAGCTCTTACTCCGGCTTCATTTCCTCCGTCACTCCCCCGATGAACAGGTCGGTGTCAAGGTTGAGGCCGTCTGTGCCGCGTGGACTCTCGCCCTCGATGAGCGACTCGTTGTCCACGCTGAGCATGGCGTTGCGACGGTTGCGAGTGACCACCAGCTGGTGCCAGCGTCCCTGATTGATTTGTACTTTGCTGACCACTGTGCCTGTGCCCGAACCTGTGTTGAACCTGAGAAGAGGAGACACGAAGCATGTTAGAGACTCACTCATTCAGTCACTTTAAACCTGTATCACATTTCATATTAGTTTGCAACACTTTCAGGTTCTTTTCCACACAATATGTCTGTTCGTTATCCAACGGTGCCTAATGACAAGCAGAAATCTGCTCATGAAACAGAGGAGGATGAAAAGAAAAGATACAAGACTTCCCATTTGGGATTCTAAACTATGTGACTAGAATGAGGCAGTTACTGACTTAAAAAATAATTAATTAAATCTTTTAATTAAACATTTTATCTAATGAGGTTTTGTTGGGAAAAAAGCCATATCATGACAGAAAAGAGCTGCGGTGTATGTTCACCCACACATATGGTAGTATTAGCACAACCTGAGAGCAATTATCTGCCACAAATAATTAGTTCTTCTCCCCACGTCTTGGATTTGTGGAGCGGTGGGTGGTAATCTCACTGCTGTATTTCTGGAATTGAGGCAGAGCTCCATTTGAAAGCACAAGTGACTAATGATCTCCTTTAGTTTTCTATTGATTTCGCTATGAATAGAGAAATCTAACCTGGCCAGGTTGGGAAGAACTGAAAGGGATTTCGAGGGGTCAGGGTGAAACACGAGACCCAACAGATAAGGGAAGCGGGGGAGGGGGGGGGTTGAAATAATAGGTCCAAAACAGACACGGTGCAGAATCTCTAATTAGTCCATTCACGTCTTTTCTGACGTCTTACCCCGAATGATTTTTTTATGCATACAATTCCACTGCGGGGGAAGAGATGAATACTTTGTATTTCTGCAGGTTTCTGGCAGGAAAATGGTCCAATTTAATCAGGTTGGATGAAGCCTTCGGTTACTGTCAGCCATACAAATTCAAAAGTGGTACTAGCCTTAAAAAAACACATGTTCAAATGCTGTATGTTTACTAGTCACAAGGAGTCATACTGAGCCTACAAATCAAACAGTAAACAGATCCATCAAACAGATTAAATGACACTAAGAAGGTGAATTATGGGAGGCTGGAGATCCAATGTTTTTGGAGTTGGAGCTATACTAGGGACTAAAAGTCAGGATATCTCGGCCTATGCTTCATTGATTTTTACCATTCTTGTGATTACCCCAATTTTATGGAAGCACAATACTAAATCACTGCAGTACTCTTTTTAAATGGCCACTCAAATAACCGTACACATTCCACACAATGGACGCAGCAGATGCAAAAACAATCCAATAAACAATTAAATCTTATATTAAAGTGTATGTGATTTGAGGTTACAATATTAATAAATATTTCAATTTTGTAAAGTTTCTGGAGAGTTAATTGATAAATCGTTTATGCAGGAATTAAATACTTGAATTAATTATCTAATAAACCAGCTGCAAAATCCCAATATTGCTACTCTACTGTTGCTTCTATCCTCAGTGCAGTCTTTATGTACAGCATGTTCAGTCAAATGCATCTATGAGGCATTTCTATGTCACTGTGTATTTTCACATAAACCATAACTCTGTATATATGTTATTAGAAATGACATATGAAATGCCAAATTTGAAACCTCCTGCACATATTTCTGTCCATATGTTCCTGCCATCTGCAAACGTGATCATGTGAACAGCATGAAAGTTTTAACATATTTCTGAAAGCATGTCTTCATAGCCGCAACCTGCAAATCTGTCACGAAGCTTCTGCGTCTTTATTTATTTTCTGGCAGTGGCGTTTGCAACATGTTTACTCGCTGTAATTATTTGCCTCATTATCCAGCACTCTCTCTTTGTTTTATTCTTATCTACATCCTCTCTCAGCTGCCGCCGCAATGACCCTGTTCCCCCGAGGGGATCATTTAAGTTTCATCAAGTTTAATCAAAGAACAAGCAGCAGAATCAACAGCTGACAAGGCCGCTGCCTGACAACTCCTGCCGTGCTCACCTGAGCTCCACCCTGCCGTTGACCAGAGCCAGAGAGATGAAGTCCTTCTTGCCATCCTGGCCGTTGTAGAGCAGGATGCCAGTCATCTCGGACGCTCTGAACTCCATGGCAATGCGGACTGTGTGGTAGGCACTCATTGTTTGGAAAGCCAAGTACGACTGGCCACCAAATGACGGGATGAAGTACTTGATCACTGTGGAGGAATGAAGACAACAAGCCAATCCTGTCATTACTACATGACTTACTTTTTCATGGCGTAATAGGCGTTTAATGTGCATAATTAAGTGTGAGCATGAGGAGGTGGTGTGTCACTGGCTCTTGATTACAGAGAAATAAGCCTTTCTGTCTAGTTTATTTTAGGAATGATGATTTGCAGAGTTTATCAAAAGGAGAAGGTCAAGAAAGAGGAGGAGCGCAGCTTTTCACCCACCCTCAATACACATTCACATGCCCGTGTACACACACGCGCACAGGAAACCTTTGTTTTTACGCCACTCGACAATTATGATTATTATCATCCATTTTCTCCCCCGGGCTCCTTTTCTCTCCATCCATCTGTCTTTCTGTCCGTCTCTCTGAGGAGAATGGCAGCTGATGAGCTGCCTCTTTTCTAATGACTTGATTGATCTGGGGGAGGCTGGCGGTGGCTGTTTGTGGGTGTGTATCTGTGTGTGTGTGAGTGTGCACATGATTTCATTTAGCCACTCTAACTCAAAGACACACACTGATTCTCACCAGCTAATCCCCATCAAAGCAATTAGTGTCAATTATCTTAAGATGCAGCTGCGTGAGGTTGCTCCTCATTCCCCCAAAAATCTCAAAGTAGGGTAAGAGGGAAGAAACAAAAGAGTTGTGCTTCTCAAGAAGTTCTCCTTGATTTATGATTTTCTCCGCGGTGCTGATTGGAGTCTGTGTTTCCTTTGGTGAACGGCTCAGCGGTTGCTCACTTCTGAGGTGCTGAACCTGTCTGAAGCACTTGAGATGAGTTTGAAACGCAGCCGCCGAGGAGATATTTCTGTGTCTGACTCAATCACACCTCAACTCTTTGATCTCAAGTTTTTAAAAAATCTCTGTCCTGAGCTCTGATTGCTGTTGTCTTGTTGAGCTTTTAACGACCCAATAAATCCACATCTGTGACCACGTAACACTGCATTTACATATTCCAGTACTAACTGAAAGTCATTACTCACACTGCTACTTAAGGTGTCACTTTGCAGCCACTTTGTAAAGCTACAATTAGACAAAACTGCTGCTTAGCAGAGGGAGTATGTTTTTTTTTTTATTAAATAAAACATTCCTTTAATTTTCGATTTTTTTTTATTATAATGGTGTGTTTCTGCTACTTTATAAATATATTAAAGCACTTGAGGATGTCGTTAGCAGTGATTATAGAACAGCTAAAAGGTATGATTGGCACAATGGAAAGTGGAGTGCCTAAAAATGGTGTCTTTGAAATTGCTAATTGCTATTGTACAATATTACAGGGAAAGTCTGTTCTAGCACAGTTTCCTAGATGAATTTAAAATAAGCTCAGACTTTTAAACTTTTGATTTGAAAGTAATAACAAATACGGAAAAAGAAATACTTCCTAATATATAAAGAGAACAAACTCACCCTTCTCACACACAGAGCCTCCTCGCCCGGCGGGGCACTTGCAACTGAAGTCAGTGCCGTCATCCTCGCAGGTGCCCCCGTGGAGGCAGGGGTGGGAGCTGCAGGGCTTCTGGGTCTTGTGGTGAAGTTTGCCCCTGACATGGGCGATGGTGGTGGCTGGAGGCAGCGTGGTGGTGGTGACAGCTGCCGTGGTGGTGGTGGTGGGTAGCGGTGTGGTGACTGGCACTGAGGTTGTGGTGGTGCGTCTGCTGCTGTAAGGCCTGCGGGTAGTGCCTGGCGGTCGGCGGGTGATGTAAGCGGAGGTTGGGGGGAGCCTGGTGGTTGTGGTGGTGGGAGCAGCTGTGGTGACCGACGCCGTGGTGGTGGTAGTGGTGGTGAAGAAGGGGATGGAAGAGAGGCCTGTAAACAGAGCCGGAGGAAACAATGGAAAATAGAGAAAGAGACGTTAAAGTATGTTGAGCTTGCGGCCCTGAGATTTCCTATTCAAGACCTGTAAAACCTTTGATAAATCACCTCATGAATAACTTAAAACCCCTTTTCATTTTATTAATCCCCACACTCTCCTGTTAAGTCCACACTCTATTACCATAATTGGTGAAGCGAATATTCTCGTCCTCCGGCTTCTTCACGGCGATGCTGGTGTCTTTGGAGGCCTTCAGCTGCTTCAGCAGGGATCCTTCGATGTCCTCCACCGAGTATTTTGTATCTACAATAAACAAGAGGTACAACCACTCAGGACGAGGCCTCTGAGGAGCACTCCACAGCAAATACAGGACTACTCAAGCTTCTTTAGTGGTACAATGGGTACACCAGACAGCCCTGTGTATGACAGGTGGAGGGACTCCAGGGACCACTTGTCCTCCACCTGCTGTTTGTCCGGCTTCTTTCTAGATGAATCGTTCTCATAACGTTTGCCACAGATGTTCGCTTTACTGGCCATGGAGGAGCGCTGCTTAACAGCACCCCTCACCCTGCATGAAGGGTATGAAGGACGCTAAATGGTGCTCGTAAAAAACAAAAGCGCCTGGGGTGTGAGGGGGGGGTATGGTATGCTAACAGAAGAGCTTAAAGGCCCAGCCGTGGTGTCAACCATATAAGTCTAAACTGAATTCATATATATACAAAACCCTCTAACATTAGTAACTCAACTTTAGTTGTTTTCCAGTGTTTGTTACTGTATTAAAACAGCTGTAAATTGATCTGAGAGTAACAGCACGTTCCATTCGTGTTTTGAATTTTACCTTTACCTGTAACCAAGGTGCTAATATCACAGATGCGGTCATTTGGAAAACTTTTCCTCGCTCTGATGAATAACAAACACAAATCTCAACATTTAAGTAGAGGTAAAAACTTTCTTATGATATTGTGGGTTTTGAAACAGGGTCAAATTGCTGCATGAAAGAGATTAAGTTGGCATTGAGAAGAAAATTAAAAAAACATACAAATGAGGAAGAAAATTCAGCGGCTCGCAATATTATGAGCCAAATGAAAAATAAGTAGAAAAGCACTCAAAGACAACATACCTCTGCCAAGGATGCACAAGCCTCTAAATTTATTATTTTAATAGTAGCAATGATTACATGTTTTTAACCTTGGATCTGTATCAGAATATACCTAGCAATAGAAAATCATAATGATTTTCGGGAAAAGGCTTCAATCCTGGTAATGTTTTGTACAAGGATGAATGGAGCAAATTGTTCAAGGAAAGCATGACTACTGGCCATTTTTTTATAATATATATTAAAACAAAATGTATAGGAAAAAAAACCATTTGAGTTTGCAGGACCACTCAGAGTGGCTATGTGCAAGTACAATTTGGTTGCTGTTGCACAATTGCTTTACATTTTAAGAGAACTGTATGGAATATTAAAAATATGATTCAAAAATGTTATGTGCTAAACTCAGTGAAGACGGAATTAAATGTCTAGGAAGAATAATAAAAAGAATAGAGTGCCAGAAGAGAACAAATGCTGCATCTCCACCTTACACTGGACTTACAAATGAAAATGTTGGAAAAATGGTGACTGTGGCTTGTTCTGCACAAAAAACATAATTAGGTCCTCCTTGGCCAACGGCCTAACTTTTATCCCAATTTCATTTAAATTCAGCAATTAATTTTTAAGATATCTTGTGTGTTAAAAGACAAAGGAGCACAAACCATAACTGATTCCAACCACATATCTCTCTATTAGCTACTGTCTTTAATCATTATATTATTGAGGTTTTTTTTTTGTCAAATCTTCTGCTCCCTTCAAAGATTTCTCACCTGGTTTGAAGTGGGCCTCCACAAAGGCCAGGATGGAGTTGCTCGGGGCCAGGTTACGGACACGAACGCTCATAAAGTCTTTGTGCACTTCCGACTTCCTGAACAACTCGTTGAGCTGGGGAAGAGAGAGAGAACGAGAGAGAGAGAGATGATAAATGAGGCTGGTAATGAGCTCCACGCTATCATAGCCGGCGAGTCCAATTCCAGAAGACTGTACTCTATCTCCAAGGAAGAAAGACTGCCTTTCAAAATGGGGTGCAGAGAAGAAACCTATCGGGTGTGGGTGCACAAATTGACATTTAGCTGCAGCCGTGGCATTAATTATAGGGACAAGTTTTCGGGAAGAGCTAAGATAAATGCCATGCTGCCCTGACATGTGCTCCTGATTGGTTTTGCTTCTGATGCCCCCACTGTGTGCAAATACTAACAGCCAGAAGAGCTCCAGAAGGAGGTTTGACTAAAATATTTTTTTAAGCAAACGCTGGTATGACTGCAGTTAGACTGAATTTGCCTTCAGCCAAAAAATCTGGTCTAATATTTGATCTGAAAATTGGACCATTTTCATGCTGGAACTTAAAAAAGTTACACATACAGCACTCAGTGTTTACCCATAATTCTGCTCTTGTCGGCCTCATGGTGGATTACTCACATTTGCACACTCGAAAGCAACAAGAAACAAGAGGTAAATCCTACGCCATGTCCTCATCTGGGCTGCTGGTTGAAATGACAGGAGCCACAGGGCCTGCTAACCCACTTTACTGGAGCATCCTGTGAGTGGCTGCTTCCATTGTTTCCACTAAACCCTCCTCCACACACCCCATCTGCATCTCACTGATTCCTCTAAAGCCAATCATTGTCCACAAAATGATGTTTTTAAACAATTTCATAAAAGAGCCATACTCAGCTGGACCTCTTGTGATGTGTGGTAGAAGTGGAATTGAATCATTTCATACAGTTTCTGTCAGATTCATACAGTCATCGACTACGTAGTTCGATTTTGTTAGGTTAACCCACTGGTCCCCAACCTTTCTCCTTAAGGACCCCTTTGCTATTATTGAGTAAACTGATGACCCTGACTATGTGCCATATTTTATGGATTATTTATATTTAATGCATAATAATAACAGTACAGAACAACTGATAAACTGTACAATTAACTGAAATAGTGAATGCAAAAACTGCAGGATGTTTACACATTATTTCTTGTTTAATTTTATTTTTAACAATCATACATACTTAATAGGCTTCTTTTTTGACAAATTTAGTGTTTCTGTGCGTGTGTTCTATTAGCTCTTTGATTGTTTTGGGGAGGCTTTTATTAACTGATAGTGACAGTTGTAGAGTGACAGGAAACGGGGGCAGAGAGAGCGGATGACATGCAGCAAAGTGCCAGAGGTTGGAGTAGAACCCATAGAGAAGTATTATTGAGCACCAAGGATTTAGCCTTGGTACTTGGGGTTGTTTTAACTGCGTATTTTTCTAGTGCAGGGCGAGGCTGTATAGCAGAGAGTGATCATTTGCAAAGCTAAGCTACAGGCCTACTGTATATTTTAAAAAGTTTTCTTATACCCCTTGAAATCAAGAAGGCCTAGCAACCCCCCCTGTGAAGCTTTGGCAACCCCTAGTGGGGTTCCAGACACCAGGTTGGAAACCAGTGGGTTTACGCATTGTCGCATAAGGTTTAATGCTCAGCAACCACCATCTGCAGCAGAGTTATCACATCCACTGTTTCTGTGGCTTTTTCTAATCTTTCAGTAAGCCTTTCACCGACACACCAGACCCCGGCGAGGTGAGCTGGTGTAAAAAGCTGCTGACTCGGCCAGTGACACTAATCATTCAGTAGACTCAGTTCAGCTTGACTATTCAGATGATCTCCCCTCTAATTTGTGGGCTGAGGTGTGACAGCAAAGTAGACAGGTCAAAAACCAAATCCTCAAAACCTAGCTTTAGGATGGAAATGGCGGTGAACAAACTCTCTTGTGGACACACTGACCTAGAAACCTCCTGATGTCTCCCCCCCCCTTCTCTTTCTCTCACACATCCTAATTTATTCACTAATTGTTACACATTGCACAGTGGCTTGATTCTTTTATGTGTGTATACTATCTATGTATATTCTGTGTGTGTGTGTGTGTGTGTGTGTGTGTGTGTGTTGGAAGATGAAGAGGGGGGTGGCTGCTGTCAAGTGGCACCCCAGGCTTCAGAGACCCACACACACACGCCCCAAAAGTGTTAACGAGCGCACACACACGCACAAATCGCTGTGAGGTAGTAGATTAGGTCCCAGTGGAGGCTAGTGACACCGATTCAACAGCTGGTATATGTGTACAGTGTATACAGACACACACAGACGTCCCCATTTCATCAGAGGAGCGAGGCCCTGGCTTGACAACAGAGACTTTGTTCAAAGGTCTGAGCTCAACAAAGAAAACGGACAGTGGAGAAATTCGAGCAGGGTAAACCACCTGGGCCAAACTGTGATTACTGCACAGGCTCTCTGCCTGCCTGAGCCTCGGTTGGCTAACAGCAACTGGCATCACGAGCATCCGCAGTTATGAGATTCATATCCAGAATAAGGACTTGATTTTTCAAATATCAGGAAAATCTTAATTAATCTCACATGAGATGCAGCTTTCTGGTGCTGTGAAGTGTTTGGCAAGCAATCGACAAATTAGTCTTTGCACAAGCCTGCAGAGAGCTGTTAGTTTTTTTTCCCTCATAGTTCTCTTATTAAACTTGAAGAGTTTCTGGAAGCCTCGTGTAATGTCTATGCTAACTCAGCCCTGAAGCTTGCATGCTTGAAATGAAATGCACCAGCCAAATTCCATGAAAATTCTTAATTAATCATCAGAATATGAGAGGAAAATCTTATTCTGAAAAACATCAGAATTTATATTTCGATATGAAACAAATATTATTATTACAACAATGTGGTGAAGAGTATTGTTTGGTTCTGAGCTACCTACCTCAAAAAAACTGGTATTCAATCATTATATTTCCTCCTAGGAGTCACCTGATGTAACACTTTGCCAATATCGCCCTTTTATTAAAAATCAAATATCAGCCAGACTATGTCTGATAAGATGTATGTCCCTCTCTGACCGCAGCAAGCGAATACCTTTTTATCATTGTTATTTTTCTATCAGATGTCTAACCAGAGAAATCACTCCAGCCCGGTGTGGCAGAATATTACTCAGCAGCTTCAGGGGTGTCAAAGTCTGTAAAACCTGCAACGAAGCCTCCCTGAGCCTGCCTGAAGGAGCTCAAAGAATTTGATTAGTCTGGCTGGAAGTCTGGAAGAGTTTCAGCGTCTCTGGATGCTTTGAATGTTGATTCAGAAGCTTTTCCACTCTTTTCTTGGGAAAACTCAACTCAAATTTAAACTATGGTGAACAGTGGCCACTGTGGCAATTGCCACTTGATTCAGTTGCTTTAAAGGAGTATTAATTGAGGGTTTTTTTGCCTACTTTAGGGGAGCAGAACAAGCTGAAAACATAACCGATTACATCCCATTATAGTGTGAATTGTTACAGCAAACATGTTGAATCCATGTATATAACATTCACTCTGCTTTAAGCTTTGTTTTGATCTCTATAAAAGCAACACTGTCCAGCTGAAACTGAAATTGTGTTGACGAGAGCGAGCTCACTGGGCTGAAAACCAAGACAAAGCGCTAAAAGAGGCTAAAAGACAGCAGAAGTGACCTCGACCTTTCACTTACATGGTCATTTGATCCATAGCTTATACATAAATTATTGATTAGTGCAGCTTTAAAGACGTCATCATTAAGGGACCTCGAGTGAAAGCCAGCAAAACGGGAACACAAGCAGGAAGAAATAAATATGTTTCCTGGTGGGGTAGGTGTGTTTTGCTTATATGAAATGTTTATCTGTGACATGCTGAAATGTAGTGTAACAATTGCACTGATTACGTTTATTTACATTAGCCACCATAAGCTACTGGTTGTACCAGACTAAGAAAAACAGTAGCAGCAAAACCCCAGACTGTATCAAATTAAGGAAGAGTGTATTTTATTGCTTTTTAGTCAACTTTTCATATGTAGGGAGAATATTGTGTTATTTTTTCTTTAGACAGTTTCAGAGTCTTACTTTAATGGTAAAATGTAAATAAGTTAACCCACTACTGTCCACAGGGGAATTTCTCACAGCAGATACAGCAAAAAACAAACCATTATTGTTACTAAAACTGTATTCTAAACACTACTTGCTCCTACAGCACTTACAGCACTCTCTATGCTGCGGGCCGTCTCTCCAAACAGCTCCGACTTGGGGTCCTCCATCTCGGGGGTGTAGAAAATCTCCTGGCCCTCCACCTGGTCCAAGTGCAGGAAACCGCTGAACCTCATGGTGGCTGGAAGGAGAGGAGGCGAGGAAAGCAGATGTGATTCTGAAACACCACAGCTCAAACCTTCTTCTACCATCACTCAGTTCCCGCTGCCTTTACACAGTGCTCATTTTGGGGAAGTGCCAGTCTTGGGTTAGTGATGGACTGTGTGTTTGTGTGTGTTTGACAAAGGGAGGTTAGTGAGTTTGTTGCTGATTGCGTGGGGGTTTAAACAAGGAGGGCTGGAGTTTGGCTGTTAAAGGAGGACGGGGTGGTGGTGGTGGAGGTTGTGGTGGTGGAAGAGGTGGACTGTGAGATATGAGTGAAGAAAGGGAAGAACAAAGAAGAAGGAAAGGTGGAAAAATGGGCCAGTTTTACCAGACCGAGACTCGTCCCAAAAGCTGGCCGAGGCATGGAGGGCTGGGTAAAAAGACAACAAGTTAGACACACAAGTACATGAAAGAAAAAACAACACACACACACTATAGAGGAAACAGCGCACAGGCACTCTCAAAAGTGCCGTCTTCAGCAAAGAGAAAGCCTCCCTGTCCGACCTTGGGGGTTATGTTGTCCAACATTTATCAACTCTCTATACGGTTTCTTCATACTGCCGACAGAGAGGAGAGGGCTCCAAATAAAGCTGAAAGTGGTGGGGATTTGTGTGTGTGTGTGAGGTGAAGAACGGAGGAGTATGTGAGGGGCTGATGCCAGGCTTCCACACCGCTCGTAATCAGCAGAACAAATTGCCCAAATCAATCATGGCTGCCCCTGCCTGAGCAACGCCAGGGAGAACGGGAAGAGCACTTGTATGATTATCGTGAAAGATAGCCGTAATTGTCTCTTTAATGCCGCCAGACCGGTGACTGACACAGCCTGGTTAAAATTGCATGAAAAGGACAGCAGCCTCTGCCGACACTCACCCGCCTCCCCACTCACGTTCTCTCTGTCTCCCCTCTTTACAGTACTTTCACGGGCAGCACACATCGATTCAGATGTGAAGGCAGCCATAAAATAGAGGCAAAATGGGCAGGGTTCGGCCGATAAGATGAAGGGGGAAGGAAGGAAGAGAGGGGCGACAGTGAGGGAGATCTTGACTTTTAATCTGCAAAGAAGACAAACATCAGAGAGGGTGATTTTCCAGCCCACTACCGTGACGGACGTAAAGAGAGAAAGAAAGGGGGCGATAAAAGGAGGGACAGAGCTATTTGACTATCAGATTCTAGTGTACTGTAAAATGTAATGGATCTGTCAGACTTCCACTGGCATATGGAAGAGTTTACAGTAGCTGGAGCTTAGTGTGCCATTAACTTTGGCTGGTCATTATCTTTGATGTCATATGCATGGGTTAAATGTAACATATGGAGGTCCTGCAGTGTTTCTCTTTTCAGGTTAAGACATTAGGAACCAATGCACTTACAGTTGTCAGGATAGATTATCTCAACACCTGGACAAACCCACCCAAAACTATGTCCATGGTTGAATACTATAAAAAAAAACCATTCTTCACCAAGGTCTGACATCCACCGTGAAGCTTTACAGCTGAATACAAAAAGGGTTTCATAGGTCTCCTTGAGTGTGTGAACGTGTGTGACTAAACTCAACCTTGAGCCACTTCACCATTTGATGTCTCAATAAACTGTGTGGATTGGAACAGCGAACAATTAGTCCTTTTCGTTCTGAGACGGCAGAGAGCTCACGTCAATATATCGGATGGCACAATGAGACAGCGGATATTCTAGCATGAGGGACGTGTCATTTCACTTCTAATGAGCGCAGGATCGGCTAAGCCCTCCTCAGGAGAGAAAAGGATCCGGCTTATCGATCAGCCTATCGCGCTGCCTGCTTTTATTGGTATCACTTGAGCTGAATGAAGTATTGATCGCTGGTGTGCCGTCATTGTCGGCTCAGATAAATATTTACAGGCTTTAGCGGATTTGTTACAACTGTCTTACAGCTAAAACCTGTTACAGGTGTTCATACAACACATGCTTCTATCGTCGCCTGGATTTGGGGCCAAAGATCATCCAATCTGAACTCAATAGATGTGCCACTCCATTTTTTTAATCTCTGTTTGGTTTTATCTTTTATAAAGGAAAAAATGGCAAAAGGTTATGTAAGGCTAAAGGCGGCCTCATATTTTCACATCATGTTGTGGATTGTGTGGCAGTGAACTCTGCTGGTTTATTGGAAGGCTTTGGGACCTTCAACACGGCAGAAATGCAACTCTGCGCACTAATTTGTGGCCTCGGCTCTTTCAAGTCGTGACCTGTGGCTCCCACGGGAGCTGGAGAGAATCCCTCCTTTCACAATCAGTCAGGCTAACACCGCTGGGACAAATAGAGAGCAGATTTCAACCAAGGGACGGAGGGAGAGAGAGATAGAGAAGCAAAGGGGAGAAAGAAGCCCTTTATCTTTATGAACCGAGTCTGGCAGGAGGCACTGATTGGTACAACAGCGCTCGGCGGCCTCTGGTAGTCTCTCGACTCTCTCCCCGCTCAACTCCAGAGAGAAATAAACTGATGCAAGACTGGGCTGAGATTGACTGAGTTGAGGCAGACAAAAGCGTGAGATATAGCTCAAGAGGGAGATACCAAACAGTAGTACTGACTGATAAAGTGAAGAATATGTATGTTTGTGTGTTTGTGTGTGTGTGTGTGCATAAAAGAACAGGTGAGAGATTAAAAGAAATATAAAGAAGGTGGAGGAAGACAGAAAAAGCAAGAACAGAGACACGGATTGTTATTTATGGCACAGGGGCCCCTAAAATATGATTTTGACTCTTGTATCAAACCACTCATCTTTCAAAATTCTGAAGAATAGCTAGAGAAAACGAAACACACGGGGGATCACGCAGGGTACGATTAATATCAGAATCATACTGTCAAGTTTTGTAAAATTCACAAACATGGATTACTCGGGTCAGGCTTAACGTTTCACCGTTTAGGTTTTCTGCCACCTGCCAATATTATCATTTACATATGAGGGCGGTGATTCATGCAAGTACCGCTGCAGGAAAAAAAATACCACCTGTTCATCTGGTTGTTTAAGGCAGATGGCACAATATCACAATTCCCGAAGTAAACATTAAATATGAAAAAAAATATCGTGTTGATTCTAAATGTAACAACAAATTAAGGTTATAAATTGACGGAAAGGAAAAACGAGGAGGTAATTTGGACAAGAAATAGACAAGCATTCTGTGCAGGGCCATTCAAGACAGTGACGTGTAGATTAATATAGACAGTTGATGATTAGCATGTGATGTCAGCTCGTCACATTGAGACATTCAGAACAACAGAAAGTAAAAGTTAAGCTGGAAGTGCTGGGATTCCGCTTCATAAGTCAGAAAACCTACTTTAAAGTCACATTAAGGTTTGTAAAAACACAAATTACGAGGAATTCAATACTATTATAGTACCTTGCTCAACAATACGTGGTGAAGATTGATCCATTTGTCTAGACACGGGCTGTAAATGTTACAATTATTAGGCACTACCATAGTTTTTCTGGTTTTAGCAGCCTTCAAGCAAACAGAAACCCACAAACAGCTGATCTATGACTGAAGGAAAAAACTGCACAATGATGCTAAAACAGGACGGTGCAGACCTTTTCTAAGCAGCAGAGATTTTGGCTTAAAATTAGCATTCTGTCTGAGAGACAGATCAATACCACTTTCATGTCTGTATATTAGGAAGAAAGCATACAGACCGGAAGCAGGAGGAAACAGCTTGGAATAAGAATTACTAAACTACAAATCGTTATTATTACACTTCTGTTTGTGTACTAGTTAACAAAGAGACACAAAATGTTTGGTGGAGTTGTTATTAGGCCTAGTTGTTTCCCCTGCTTCCAGCCTTCATGCTTCCCAAATTGCTGGACTATTTCTTTAATGTGACCTGCAGTTTTTTCAATGCTAACAAAGTGTTTGTTGTTTAAATCACAGATTCACAGAAGCTAGTGGAACAGCTTATCAAACTTATAGTGCCAACTGACAGGAGACAAACACACAGAGGAGGAAGAATTTGGTAATATTCAGGTGGTCATAGGGTAGAAAAGGTGTATTTTTCGAAGGGGCATTTGGACTTACAGGGGCAGTTGGCGCCATCTGGAGTGCTGGCTGGGGTCTTGCCGTCGGGGCAGCAGCCGAACTCCTTGTTGTCACAGGATGACCTGTCCTCAGCTGTGGGTACAGTGGTGCTTGCTACTGTGGGACCTGGGGGTAATACACAGGGGTTCATAATAATCCATTAAGCTTCAGAAAATTCAGAAATTCAAGCCATTTTATCTCAGATTACAGCTATTTTAAATACTTTTTAGGTTCCGGAGACGGGTAGTGTTTCTAAGATCTAAACCTACAAAACGTTTTGTTTTTCTTCCCAACTTGCTCTTTCTCCTGCAGATGGGAGTGTGTGGGGTTTTTTTTGTCTGCTGACCTCTGATTGGACGCTAATAGAGGCATCTGTCAGGAGTGATTATATGGCATTTTCATGGGAAATGATTTTACACCTGGAACTCATTTTGGCAGGGAACACATAATGGGCACTGTTGCCATTCATGTCACACACAGAGCACTTTAAATACCGAAGGGATGTGATAACTGCTCTCTGCTGATTGGCTGACAGTTACCTTCAAGGCTTCTGAGGAGGGGAAAAAAAGAAACATACAGTCGTGTTTGCGTTACGGTCACTGTATATCTGGCTATCTTGGGACATAAAAGACATAAAAGTGGCTGGGCATTCTCCCTCTGAAGGATGAGAGTGTGTAACAGCAGCGAAGCTCCGTCCTCTCTAATGATTCTGTTGGTGGAGGGAGGGTGGGCGACTTGGTCGAGGCGGCGCAGTTTATGGCCGCACAGAGATTAGAAATAATCGTGGAGGCAAACAGCTCGCGGCTAAACAAGTCGTAAAGACGTCAGAGGCGAGGGACGTCCTGCTCAAGGACTCGCGGTCAAAGGAGGCGAGAGGATTGGGGGGAGGAGGGGGAAGAGGCTGGGGGTTTATAGGGCATCTGTTGGCGTGTGGTCTGCAGATTTACAGATGCTGGGCCAGAGAGGAAAGCGCCGGTGGGGGAAAGAGGGCTCTGCACAACAGCAAGGGTACGCTGCATGACTCCAGTAAGAGCCATGAGAGCTGTCAAATAAATACACACACACACACACACACACACACACACACACAGGTACGCACAGAGGCACAGATTTCAACAGAGCGTGGATACAAAAACACGCACAAACGCACACCTCTGACCTGTTCACATTTATATACTCAGACGGTGATATGTGCACTCGGAATTGGACAAACTCAGTGACATGAGGAGAGGGAGATAAGACTAACACACACACACACACACACACACACACACACACACACACACACACACACACACACACACAACAAATATAAGACTTCAACATACATATAAAAAGCACGAGCACACCTCACAAACACACAAAGTACAGTTGTGAAGAAACACAGATTAGTGCAGATTTAAATATCCATGTTTAAATCTGCACAGTGCAATCATCTCCTAATCCGCTCACACTTTCACACTCACAGACTGAAGTGTGAGCCGGTATTTCAACGAGCATACACAATGTAAAAAACATCCAGGCATGCTTGGGTACACACTCATTCACACACGTACACACACACCGCCACAAGAAACCGGGTCTCCTCGGCAGACAGGCTACATGCTCCTCGCGTCACCGAGCACTCTGGTCAGCCTCTGACAAGAGAATAAATCTAAGCGTCGGGGAGAAGGAGCGAGAGGGGAGGAGGAAGAGCTGAAGAACACATTGGGGCCCCGCTGTTCCATCAATCCTATCCTGTTACTGCAAGCTGTCAGGCAAGGTGGATGGATGGATGGAAAACAACAACTGAAAAATATTTAAAAAAAGGTCTGATTGAAAAGTCTCAGTCATTCCTTGTTGTCCAAGCAGAGGCCCCAGGAACCACAGCCTGCTATTACAGTCAAGGGGGCATGTCGAGAAAGATTTGAGACTAGTCATGTGACAAGGTACGCGACCTCCACACACACTCACACCTCAACCTCCCAGTCACATCAGCCTGTCAAGTCAGGCTCCAGAGATCCCCGGATGCGGGCCAACAGTTCCATCCGGCCTGCCGAGAGTGTATTTTACAGAGCCTGGGTTTGTTTTGCTAGCTGTTGAGAGTGAGAGCGCCAGTGGAATGGGAGAAAAGAGCATGGGTGATGTAGCAACAGTGAACCGTGCAAATACATTCCTTTCTGTCTGAAATTGAGATATACATCTTATGCGGAATGACATCAACAGCATCTGTTTATACAGATTTCTCTTCCCTGCCTGCCTGCCTTTGACATTTGTCTCCTAAAAGACGATTTGCATACAAATACATAAGCTGATGTTAATGTAGCTTTCAATTAACAGATGATGGCATGAATGTGTTATGATGTCAGCTAAGAAGAGACTATGAGTTTGTCCAAACCCTTCCCACACACCCCTCAAAGCATTATGGGTAATGAAGTGAAAGAGCAGGGATTTACCGACAGGCTCCTCTGCCCCACTGGCCTCTGTTGGGATGCCGCTACCCGCTTCCTCTTCTAGCTCCTCCTCTTCTTCAGTCTGGTCGTCCCCGCTTGGATCCCCGCTGCCCGAGCCCTCGAAGGAGGCCGCAGCGGCCGAAGGGGTAGGGCTGCTGCTGCGAGAGGAGGGGGTGGTGGCGGCAGCGGGCGTGGACTGCGGCTGAGGCTGGGTGTGGATGGGGTGGTTGTGGATGAGGGTGGGATAGGGGGTGGTGGCTGGGGGCCGCTCAATGGTCACTGTCTCGGCTGTCCTCGGAGGCGGGATGCCCCACACCCTGTTACGGTCGAAGGGGGCGGGGGTGGTGATGGTGGCGCCAGCGGTTGAGCTGGGGGGGGTGGCGGAGGGGTTGGGGGTGGGTCGGTCTGCCGGCTCAGAGATGGTTTCTGGTGGAGGGAAGGGGAGGAAGCAAGGAATGGATGAATGACTGAGCAAAGATGAAAATGTTTGATTTTGCTTCACCTAGCTCCATTACCACCTCAAAAATCACACCATAGGAAATAAAAAACATCATTAACCAATAAAACATAATAAAACCACTTAATGATTATTACAACCTACTGTTGACAATAACTTTTTACCTCTGCATTCACTGAATGATTATGATCTTTTTAATCTTCTAACCCTTCTCCCTGATGCTCAACAATGTCATTAGGAAATAACATTAAAAAAGAACACACACACACACATATATGCAAGCTCCCATTTGTAAAAGCAACCTCTGATTAAAAACCCTGCAATGTATGAGATGTCAGGAATCTTTATTTGACAAACCTTAAGTAATGAAAGTGCATCCATATGCAGAGTGAATATGGAATATGCCAGCAGATGACATACTGCATTCACAGTTATATGCACTGCAGTGTGTTTCGCCTGCAGATGAGTTATGTTGCCCAGACACAGTTAAACTACTCCAGTTGGTGTCAATGTACAGTGCGAAGTGTGTTTGTGCTTGTGTGCACACATATGGCATGCATTTGTGTGCACAATATTCATGTTCGTGTGCGTGCATGCTGTGCCAATGCCTATGAATTATATATCCATATTCAAATGCTGCCCTCCAGTAGCGAGGCTTTAATCACCAACAGCCAGTGCCTCCGGTGATGAATGATTGATAGAAATGGGGCAAAAAAAGCCGGCTTTGACTCTGGCTTCAAAGACGTCCGACTGCTGCTCGCGGAGAGCATGAGCATCCGTCAACGCCACCACAACACACCGCTGTCAACAGATGCACACAAACACGCACACACACACGGCAAGAAATCACTCCAAATGAGGGAGAGAGGAGAGGCTCTCCATAGAGACACCATCATTACCAATGCAAAAAGCTCTGGTGCAAAAGGACAAACTGTCTGCGATAAAAGAACGATAAATAGGACAAAAACTCCTGAGGGGGAGAAGTGAGTTGGCACAGAGATGCTACGGAAGTGAACACTTCAGATTTAGCCAAGGCAAGCAGGCGTGACAATACTGTCGTTCTTCCTTTACTTCTTTACGCCCCACGAGCATAGATGTGTGGTAGCGTGTGGGTGCAATGAACAGAAGATTAAAAAAAAAAACTATACCGTAGATTTGCGCCTCATTAGGATTCGCCTAACATTATGTGTAGGACTTAATTACACTGCTATAATCGCCTATTTGATCGGCAATTATTCACCGAGGTGTGAAATGTGATACCTACTGAGACGGCAGAAAGCCTGGGAGACACACAGTGTCAGCTTAAAGCTCGGCAGATATTTGTATAGTGAGAGATTTGGAGTGGAGTGCATAGAGCATTGATGCTATCACCAAGAATGGTGGCATGCATTGCCTTTCCTCTTGGCTACACCTGTCAGTCAGGTGCCAAGCTTAGCGTCAGGAGGCTCGCTCCCTGGGAAGTGTCTAATGTGTGTTTGGGTGTGTGTGCATATCTCAAGCAGCGAACTCTGTGACGTGGGATAAGGGAAGAAAAGAACACACGTCTGGAAGAGGAGAGAGGGACTGGCAGCGCAGTCTGTTCAGCTGATGCTTCTCTTAATCAGGTTTAACAGTCCATTTGCCTTTTTTTGTGCTTTTTTTCACTCTCAGTGGAGCAACGGACAGTTATGTCACAGGATGGAGAGGGAAAAAAATCATTGTCATCTCGGCTTGTCTCAGCCATGTAGTTATTGTTGAAAGGTGGTTATTAAGATTGTTTGTGGTGTCAGCCGCGCTCAGTGAGGAGGAGGAGGAGGAGGAATCTGGATACAGGAGACCGGAGGGGGTAGAAAAGGGAGCCAGAGAGCCAAGAACAAGAAAATGATAGGGACAAATGCCTAAAGAAAAGGTTTTAAATCAGAAGGGGAAAAAAACAGGTTAACAAAGCTAGCAGTGGGAGAATATGGCAAGGCAAACAGTGGGAACAGAATGAGGGATTGAATAATGAGAGAAAATCGCAGGACATGGTGGAGGCAACAGAACCCTAACATGCAGGCGGAGGGCTGCCGATGCCATATGCTGGCATTCGTTGCCAATTTGCTGCAAACCTACAGGTGATAACACCATATGGGAGAGGCAGGTCATTGCCAACTTGGTGGCCATTTTCCCCCGGTGCCAGAATTTGCTCATCGGTCCAAATGCCCTCCCTCTGCTCTGCTGCTTGGTACAGTAGCTCTTGCATCTTTTACTGGGTTGCTCAGATAGCGCTTCATCTTTTGCTGAGATACAGCATGAAGCTAGAAAAACCCCACGCTGTACTCTGTGGATGTGCTGCCTTTTAACTGGGAGACTTCAGAGGTAGCTGGGTAACCACGCAGTTTGCTGCAAGTTCTTATTCACAAACTGAATAATTTTAAGGAGCTTCTCTGGCAGGACTGTGAATTTTTCTTAGCCTGCCCATTAGAGGCACACTGTGCAGCAGCAGTCACGCTCTGTGGTATAATAAAAACTTGCGACAGATCAATGAAGTTAAAAAAGATCAATAATCACTCATTTATATAAGCCCTTGGCATTGCTCTCTTGTCAAACCACAGTGCAGCTCGGTGAGCATTAGCATGCCACAGCGCTGAGGCCCTGTGTCTGGAAGCACTGCATGTAAACAGCGGGAGGGGAGGGCAGGCCGGGCTGCGGCGTGGTGAGGGGTGGAGGCAGAGCAAATGCTAATTCGCACCCAGCCACACGTGAAATGAGCTCGAGATCTAACCCCCGAGCCGACAGCGGCGGCGGTGCAGCTACCCACGGTGCGACCGCATCCGGAGGAAGAAATTAAAAGATCCTCTGTGGCTGTCGGTGGGCCCGAGCGCTCGCCTGTCTGTTCCTCCCCTGAGGGGTTCCATGGAGAAAAGGTCCGCTGCGAGGCGCCTTCTTGCCTTCTGTGTGCAGCAATGCTAGGTAAGGAATTACACACAACCCACATCTCTATTGCCAGGCAACAGAGAAATGTGAAACCATTCTGGATTTTGGCTCCTTTTGCTGGTAACCCACGGCACTGAATTTGTAATTACCAGATGTTCAGGGACTTATCAAAGCCTTGTCGATCTCTTGCTGAGCATATTTGGATTCTTTATCTGTGTACCTGCAACTGCAGTTCAACACAGACCATGTCAACAGTCGTGCCTCCTATGGATATGACCTAATTTGGGTCTGACAAAGAGCGCTCAAGAGAGATAAGCGAAGAGGACTCTGCTTTTTTGGTGCCACAGTATTAGGTCACCTGATCTGTGCCCACTGAGCGATGAGGTGAGTGAACATTTTTCCATCTTAAAATGCTAGACACCTGGCAGTGGCTCATGGCCAGAACCGCACAGCTGGCACTCCTCTTCCCTACTGAGCTTGCCGGCGGCGTCTGTAGAACCCCGTTGTGACGCAAGCTGGCAGTCAGTGCGACAACTTCACTGTACATGAAAGCCATGGCCTTGGCACGTGTCCCAGCACCTATTACACCGAACCAAACAATGTCCATCAGCATCTGGACCATGGGCTAAAAGCTGTACCTTTTACTCAGTACACATGTACTCTACATCCACCACCATACTGAAACAGCGTCGTGTTCCTGGCAGCATAAAGCGGCAAAGGGATTGACGCATTTCCCAACAGGAGGGTTTGAAGATGGAGCCAAATCCCAACAGAGGAGTGAAAATGCAAGAAGGAAGTGTCATTGCTATCTTGTGGGATTGCAAGGCTCAGACTCCAGTCAAACTACAGAGCCCTTGGTTTTAAAATGTTATAATATCTCTCTCTTTCTTATTCTAACTTTCCTCCAGTGTCACACATGATTTTAGCTCTCGTCTGACAGTTGCAGGGTGAGGGCAGAGCTTACTTTACTGTACTCTATGTATTACAAACAATGAAAAGCCTCAGACAGAAGAGAACTTGCACACACATGACTTCTTACATGTGACTGTGATCTTAACCATGAAACAGAAATCTGTCTGTTGATATTTAGATTAGCTTAATTATAAATAAGTGAGATTGCCATCGTGTGCAGGTACCTGGACACAAAACACAAAACACAAATTTCAAGCTAAATTTGTATAGACGTTGCAGTGACTTTCCTTTCTGAGACAGAGACAGAGAGATGGATAGGAGGAGAAACAACAGGAGGGGGATAATTTGAGGCCCATGGCACCGCTCATTATCTTTTGATCGGGTCTGACAACAGTTGGCCATCCGTGCGACGAGTGATGCACGAAGGCTTCGACAGGGCTCACCTGTGCACTGTCCAAAATGTTGCACTGTGATGTCCTTGTCCTGCCTACAGGCTATGGTCCTCAGCTGGCACTGGTCGGCATAGGTCACCCCATCTGAGCCGCACACCTGCTCCACGGTGACAGAGATGGAGAGAGGGGAGATGGGAACACATGTTAACTCCCTGCAGGCCACTGAAACAATGTTTTTCTGTTTATAAGAAACTTGCAAATCAAACTACTTATTTCTCGTCCAGAGGGTTTGAAAAGACCCACCTTGCTCTTGTTTTTTTCATCACAGTCAGGTGAGGGGCACTCGCAGTGGGCTTGGCCGTTCATCTCAATGCAAGAAGCTCCAAAACTGCACACTAACTCTTCGCATGAAGTCGGAGCCTCAGGACCTGTGGAAGAAACAGGTTTATGTTGTTACACATTCTGTACAGCCCCCTAATCACAATGGACTAATGCTGCTTTATAAGTTCTGATTGCGGTTGGAAGTTGTGTAAAAAATTTGCATGCATATTTAATGTTAAACTTTAACAATTATACAACTTTTGCTTATATTTAAGTGAGCAAAAGTTGTGCCTGTTAAACAGCCATTAAATTGGTTTCTCAGACTGAAAAATGATGAAAGAGTAATGAAGAGATGAAGAACAATCAAACAAAAATTGTTTTTTGAGTCCTTAACACATTCTTATACACTGTATGTTAATCGTAATAGTAAAGCAGTTGTGACTTCAGAGCTTACTCCACTTTTATGTATGGTGTCATACACAAGATTTGGACAAAAAGTCTATAGACCCCCGACCCCCTCTTTCTGTGTCACCCAGTGAGTGACACGAGTCCAGTTTATAGTGTTAGCATGTATAGCTGGGGTTACATTTCAACACCAAATATAACATGCTAACACTATGCTAAGCCTTGTCTTTGCACTATGCGTGGGCTTGCTATGGGATACTGTTAGCACTAGTGTTTGTAACGAGGATGCTAATGAGCTAGCCTTGCACAGAGCCACAACCCCTGACAGCTCTAACCCAACTGTGTCTAATTTAAAAATGTGTGCAGAACAGGTTGACGGACGCTGTTTCATTCCTAGTGTTTCTAAGAGAGTGTTTTTAGTCTCCTTACAACCACAGTACAGCAGTGGTAATGTAATCTTAATGTGATATAGTCTAGTTACCTGTACGCAACACGATGTGAATTATTCATACTTTCAAAAACCACAGAAATATCCCTTAACTGTATTACTATGGTAAAAAAACAGTTGTGCAAAGGTGTGCACTCAGGATATTTAGACTCTGCTTTTTTTCTCTCCGCACATCTCTCCCCAAGCTCTCCAGAAGGAGCGTTTGAAGCCTTGAAGTTGCCGCAGTAGGAGCTGCAGTAGGGGAGCCCACCATCCACCGGCAAGGCTGTGAGTGTGGGGTCTTTGCATTGTTGCAACATCACAGAGGCTTAGAGTACCCCCCACTCCTCGGCTTCTGCTTTCATGTGCTACCACTCCTCAGTACCTTGTCTTTTCATCTGGCAGGGTGTGTGGCAGAGTGCCCCACCACTGTGCTGGGACTGCTGGCTTCATTAAGCGTTTGACTTTCCAGTCGATATCTGATGGTGCATCTTAATCAAGGAGCTGCAGGCCCCCACAGCAGGAGCTAACCTTTCCTTCAACCGGCTTTTTAGCTTGTGCAATCACCGGGGCTGTTTTCTTTATTAATCGAAGTAATCAATAGTCCTTATGCAGAAGCATAAACATCCTCATGGAAGTGTTGTGAATCATCCAAAATGGAATATGATATAGAGAAAATGAAACATCAATGGGCGATGTGCCACGCACATGTCATTTGTACACTCCAGTATTCTCCTAATGACTATCGATTAACTGCCCTGCTACGAGGCTGATCCACGGATCAGACGAGTGACAGAAAAACACAGAATGAGAGAGAGAAGCTGAGACGAAAGAGAAAAGGTATGTGTGTGTTTATGGTTTTTAGCAACGCTCCACCGGTCGCCACAGCGCTCTCTCTTGTTACCTTTGTCGCAACCGTTCATGCCCATCTTGCTTCCATCTGGACACACGTTACACTTCATGCCCTTCACTCCCGTCTTGCAGGAACACAGACCCGACATCTGCTCGCAGTCGTCCCGGACGGAGCCTGTGGCGTCGCAGTTGCACGCTGCCGTGGAAAGGTAGAGGGAAAAAAAAGAAGATTGATTAGAAAAATGAATCAATTAGGGGCAATGAAGGGATAGAAATAGCATGGTTTATGTTGCGTGCAAAAGTGTGTTTGAGGCAACCTTAGCTTCTGAACTTTGCTTTAGATACGTCTATGTCTTAGAGTCAAGGGTTGGGGATAGTTCACAACGCCTTAGGGGTCACAAAAGGAGGAGAAGGAGGAGGAGTACGAGACAGACACTCAAGAAAAACAACCCAAGGGAAGGACATCATCCCCATCATGTTCCTAGAATCAATGATGTGTGTTTTTTTTCCCCTCCTCTCCTGCTGAACCTGGTATTGGTGTGCAGCGTGCTGTCTGCTTGCTGTGGGTAAACCTTGTTAAGGTCAGGCCACGGGTGAGGGACCTGCAGGCTTCCTGCTGTTGACTGAAAATGCTCTGTGGCGTTGGGAGCGTATGTCCTATGATACCTCAGCGGCAGGATGCGAGCTGGTCACCATATTGCATTACACCAAGACAAACAAGCGGTCCTGACCCCGTTGTTCACTTGAATACAAATGAAAAAAGCTCATTCAATACAGTTTTGACAGGACTAAAGGACATGGTGGGATTTCTTTCAACAAAGGAGCTAGAGCCTGTCTGTGGATTGTGAAACCCTTTTGAACCAAATGTGTGACTTGTGATTTTGGGTCATATGAATAAAATTGACCTGACTATTGAGGTCACAGCAGAAATCTCAGAGACAGATATTTCACACACTCTCTGCATGGCTAGATACCGCTTGAGGTAAGTGAGAAAATGTTTTTTTGTAATTTTTGTGTGAGCTGACCCTTCGTGAAAAGAAGGTGCAAGGGTGCCTTAAGCAATTTATGGGAAGGAACAAAAAGCATCATACATACAGCGACTAGCACTGTACCAAATTACTTCTGAAGTCACGTGTAACGGTACAGTACAAGTACATTTGCTCGGCCGGCACAGGCACAAAGACGTGATTCCTTACGCGTGCAGCCGCTCATGTTCTCGGTCACAATGCCACGGAAGTTCCAGAAGCCCGGCTCGCAGCGGTCGCACTTCTGTCCCCCGACACCTGGCTTACAGGAGCACTGGCCGGTGGCTGGATCACACGTCCGTTTGTAGGAGCCGTAGACATTACACTGACAGGTACCTGAGGAAAAACAGAGCAACATGGGTGTCACTTTTAACTTCTACTGCTTCAGATGAAATCAAACTCCTCTGCAATACATCACTGGTTTATGCTTTTCTAACCCTGTCGTCCCATAACTTACAGCAGCTGAATACTGCTTACTATGATGGATACTCTGCATGAAAGATTTATGCTAGGCTCAAATGTTGGGTAAGCCCTATTCCACAAATAAAAAGGTGGATAAAGTGTGCTTAGGTGAGTTTCCCCTTTGCTAAATCTCTGTATATCCCTATTTCTAAGTCTGCATTTTCTCCATCCATACTGTATCCCCTAGCTAACAGCTCGATGCAGCATTTTCTCCCCCGTCTCTTTGCTATCATTCGTCGAGATCATCAGATGAAGAGATTTTTCTGTTGATATGGTGCAACATTATCATAATTATTCCTTGGATTAAGATGAAACGTTTTCAGCTCTGCAACTCTGGTGCTGTAATTGCAGTCAAGGACAATAAGCCCCATGTGCTGAAATAGCCTGATAGTATCTACAACTTTTTTTTTTCTCGTGAACACAACAATCTCAGGACACATTGAGGTTGAAGAGTCAAAGCCGGGGGGGCTTGAGGAGAACTTACTGGGACATCCAGCCAGTCCGACTCCTAAGGCGGCCGTCAAGTTGTCGTGGCAGCAGCCGTACACAGACAGACTGCAGTGCTGGGGAGCTGTCAGCTCAGGCGGAGATGTGGCTGTAATCGCTGATGAGGTAGGAACAAAAACCGAGATGGCACAAGGAGAGAAAGAAGAGCACCAACATTTGAGTGATTACATTGGCAGGGGAGGGGTTTAGTCGGGGAAGGGGGAATTTAGACAACACAATCTCCAAGCAACATGTAACTTTTTGCCAACAATGCGATTGGCTTGAGGGGCAGAGGTGGAGAGGCTGGCAGCCGGCTTCAAGATAACAATTCTATTTGCTACTTTCTCCACAATGGCTCAAAATCAGGGGGAAAATGATGCTATTACCTCCAGTGAAAACAAACAATGGCGTTGCTGGTAAGCGTGTGCGGCAGCTGACATTTACCACCTACTAGGAGGCATGTTCTCTTCATTTGTTCTTGTCTAATATTACGGAATTGCGCTGCTGCCCTACAACCTTCCCAAAAAAAAAAAAAAAGAAAGCCTGCTGCATAATGTGAAGGAATGTGCCAAGCAGTTTCTGCCTGAGCACAGTGTGTGGAGAGCTCCTTTGTCTAAGGATGCACCAGCCTTCAAACTAGTGTGACAGCTCTGAATAAAGAACTACATTCAACAAAAAAAAAACAAATGTGTTCCCAAAAACTGGCGCTTCTCCAAAAATTGGAAGAGAAGAACAACAAAACATACAGTGGGAGGGGGTTTGTTTAATGGCCGATGCAAAAAATATCATTGTTCAAATTCTCTCCAAGCTTTGGAGTGAAAAGTAAAGTTGAAGAGATGGAAAGCAGAAACAAAACAGAATCTTTCTCTCCCTTCTTTTCTCTGTCTCTCTCTATTCCCCTCCCGATCTCTTTTTCTTGTGTTGCTCATTTGGAGTTTGGAGGCTGGAGATACAGGGGCCATAAATCACACCGCTACTGGTGTGGATATGAGCCTCAGCCTAATGGTGATGACTCGGCTCGCTCTTTTTCCAGTGCTTTCCCACTCCAGAGATGGGCTTTGGACACAGTTCATTTAACTTGCCACTTTCCAGCGCTCCATTCAGCTATCTGCACTGAGCCTATTAGGACAAGGAGAACTTTTAATTTCATATGTTCTTCCACCCTTCAAGGGTTTTTCCTCTTCAGTGGCCATTGTCCAGCACAATGCAGCTCACTGTGACGTGCAGTATTACCCTCACATTTTCAAGGTCTGCGGCCGTGCAATCTCGGCTGCAGCGAATGTAGCTAGTCTTTCATATTCCAGCAAGGGCACATCTGCACATGTTTGCTTTTCTTGTTAACCAATAAGAATTTCTTTGGATTTTACTGAAATCCCTGACCTAGATTTGGGTTTGCAGGCAGCTATAGACGATGGCTGGAAATGCTATGAGAGGCAAACTTTGCAAATGTGCATGCAGCAGATGACACAGTTGATGCTGCATGCAGAAGAGGTAAAGTTTTTCCAAAAACCCGAACCTCTAAAATACAAGGTTGCCTTTATGCTCCACTAGTGAGAGCTGGCAAGTTTCTGGAGTTGAGGTCAAATGAAGTTTCTCCTTACATAGCTAATGTGGAGGGCAGTGAAATTCCCCAAGATCTGAGTTTTTGCACTTGCCGATAGGAAAGGAGAGCCCAGAGCTCTCGTACCCATAGAGGGCTCTTCAAAAAAAGGATTGATTATCCATGGATGGTAGAGAAGCGTGACAGTCAGTGCCCAAGGAGGCCAGCTTAGGAAGGAGAAGAATCTGCAGGGGTGTGTGTGAAAACACTGGCAGCTCCCTCTTTCTCACTCTCTTTTCAACTCTCCTTCCTCCTCTATTTTAGACCCACGGGGAATCAAACAGGCTGAAATGATCACACCAAATCCCTTAAGTGCCTTTTGGTCTGCTCCCTGGCCTGCGCTAGCATCAGAGCAAAAGCTCTTCATTTAACATAGCCACAGAGAGGAAGGCGGCTAACCTTTGCTATTTAGCCACTGATCTGATTCTGGCTGATAAATGCCATTCATTTACATGCAAAGAGAGGGTTTTTATATTAAAGTAAGCTGGGGTAAAGTGGTATCCTGAGGGTTATGAAGCAAAGCTTGTGAACACAACTTTAATGGTTTAAATTGTCAGAATGTCTCGGCTGGGAAAGTGAATCATTATTGCTATCAGCTCAGTCCATACGTGGGCCTGTGAGAAAGATTCGTAGCTCTACACACTAGCCAGCCCCAGAGGACCGGTCAGTTTGCAACATATGAACGACAGCATTGCTGAAAAGCCGCAAGCGTGCTGAATCATCATTCCCTGAGCAAATTAAACAATCACACATATCAAATTTAACCTTGACCCTCTTCACTTAATTTGCTTATGTCTACAGTGATCACACTGCAGAGAGACAACAGCAGCGCTGTCAGAATTATATTCCAACTATGGACTATTACTACCCCATCAATGAGTGAAATGAGTGGAGAAATGGGATGTCAATGGCAATGAGTCTTGGTGAGGGTGCTTCTGTGCACTGTAATGTAACTCTGAGTGGTGAAATGTACCGACCTGCACAGGGTCCCTGATTCTGAATCAACAAGTGCTCTTGTTTCTCACATCTGGCCTTCTTCAGCTCGCACTCGTTGCTGTAGTTTTTCCCGTCTGAGCCACAAACCTACAAAAGAATGACAGAAAGGTGAGTATTATTCTACATAATATCTGGTTTGACTTGAATATCTGTTTGCTCGGTTTCACTCCCTTTATTAACAGGCTGATGGCACAGCAGAGGTGTGTGACTTGGACTCGAGTCACAAATTTGATGACTTGGACTCGACAAAGTCAAGTTTATAACTTGACTTGGATTTTAACACCAATGACTCCTGACTTTACCTGTGCTTAAGCCTTTTGACTTGAAAATACTTGCTACCTTTTCCCAAGCTCACAAGATTAAGTAGTAATATAAGTTTATTATTTAAAAAGTGTGGTACCAATCAATTAATTTCCCCTTCTTAAAACAACTAATGTTATTGCTGTTCATTCCCAGCAAGTTGACCCTTAATGCTTGATGCACTTCGTTTAAACCAATCTGACCAATCGAATAACTAAATCAATTTACTTTAAGTTCTGTTGTTGAAATGTTGTTACATTGGGTGAAGAGTGCATTATGACTTGTTTAGGACTCGAAACTCAAAGTTTAGGAATTGGGACTTGAATTGTCTTGACTTGATAGCAAAGACTTGAGACTTGCAAAACAATGACTTGGTCCAACCTCTCTGGCGTAGTCACTACATGTCTTAGGGAAGCATGCCCTGTATGTATTGTATGTACCGGATGTATCGGTTCATTCTTGACTGAAGTTAACTCAAGATCCCCCTACTGGCTTATTCAGGAGCTTTCGAACCACATCTCCGTTGTCTTTGAAATAGCTCAGCTGTCAGGACTTGATGTAAGTATGGAACCAAAGTTATTACGACAACTCTCTGCAGCTCAAACTCAGGTCCTGTGATTACAACTGAACCACATCCATGCTAGCTAAGCAAACTAACGCTGATGAAGACGCAGGAGAAGAGATGCAGCTGAGAGCTCTGCGATAGTGACAGTTAGATAGACAGACAGTTTTCCTGAAAAGAAACCAACTAAACAAGACCAAAAAAATTTAATGCAATTTGAAATTGTTAGTATTTTTTGCCTGTACGTCCACAGGTTTTCAACGCATCAAATATATCTGCACAGGAAGGACACAGGACAGTGTCAGTGTTCCAGAGAACCACACTGACAGGACATCATGAGTGTTAGTACTGTCAAAAATGGCACTCCTGTTTGCATTGTAACCAAAACTCTCTGGATTGCTTTTGATACTAAAGAGAAAAATTTGAGGGGGTCTGAAGTTGTAAGGACTGCTTTTTAATTATTTCTAAACTGATTAGCATTTTTCCCTGATGAACTGTGGAGAAACAGCCACCACAGGGAAGAATAAGTCAACAGCAGTAGTGTTTGTTTTAGTTTGTGTGTTCCAATTCGTTACTACTCAGAGACACAAATTGCATCAATTGCGTATTTGTGAAGGTTTTGAAGGAAGCCGTACCGTGTTGTGAGGCACACTTTGGCAGGTGAAGTCACAGACACAGCGGTCGTCCTCTGCATCCTCGTCCCACGAGCCTCCAAATGTGCGACAGCGGTCCTGTTCACAGCTCTCCACGCCTGAGCCGGACCCTCCTGAGCCACATTCTGCATTATAAAACACACCATAAATACACAATATTATTCATAAAACAAGCAAACACACAAGGGAGTTACCCCTTAATCAGAGCTTCAGGTGGAAACAGTGTCCTGCTCATATTTCTCAAAAGTTAAGGCTACATTTATACATTAGGAATGTCACAAAGTTGGGATAATTTACATTTCTCTCACGCTGGCGGTGGAGAGAGGGAACCAAAGGCGCTGCTGGTAGTACAAGATAATGACCAAGTGAAGTGAGGGCGAGAGATTGACTAAATAAATTAGACACAACATCTCTGCACCACCAGCGAGGCATCCTTTTCATTTCAATTAAATCACAGACAAAAAGGGGGAGGGAATTATTAACTCTGGCCTCCAAGTGTGCAGAGAGAATTGGTGGCAAGGCCTGCTTTATGGGTGCCTGCTTCCTGATATGAGAATACAACTAATTGCAAAGTGTTCTGTAAAATCTAATTATCGCCTGAGACTTTAAAGAAAGTTGTCCCAGCAACTCTTTAACTGTGACCCTAGAAGACCTTTTTATTTGTTTTAAAAGAGCACTTCTCCAGATCGAAGTAAGAGAGCCGCTCTAGCTGACCTTATGTTCCTGGTTAAAGAGGTAGCAAGGCCAAACAAAGCCCCGTAATCACTATCCAGTAGTTCACAAAACTGTTGACTTTGTTGAACTGTTGTGCGAACTTTAGCACAAGGTAAGGAATTTAAGGAAGGTTTTAAAGGGATACATGAAGGACGGGAAAAAAAGCTATCCAGAGGGAGAGTTTGGAGATTCATTTATGAAAAACAAATCGGAAGCTGTTCCAGAGTGCAGGCACAGAAAGGGGGAGGATCCTGCTTTTGAAGTTGCAAATTTCACCTACAGTGGAACTCCTGAGGGAGATTAGGTGAATGTGTGTGAAGGCAGGGAATGAAAGCAGTCAGCAAGAAAGATGGAGAGAATGTCAGACAGAGAGAGAGGCACCCCGTGGGCTGGCAGAAAGTTCATTTGAAACAAATTTGTTATTCAAAAAAGGAATCCAGTCCAACTAAAAGCTCCCAGTGCAGCTGAAAGGCTCAAAAAACATCAGGTAATCAACATGTTTCTTCCTCTTCCCATATACTTTTAGGGCTCATTCAACTCTCTGTATTGATGCGCAACCTCTAATGGTGAAATCAATGTCGTAGTGATGGAAGTACCACTTAGCATAACCCATCTTCTAAAATAGATTATGGAGCAGGTCACAATGCAGGGGCAGATGAAGCCCTGGCTGTTCTTTGATATGGGTCATCAGCAATGGACTGTGACAGCTTTGAGTGGTCGATACAGTGGAGGGGCCTTGACTTCATTAGCAGTGGATACAACAGTGGAGCTGGAGCTTTGTGTAGAGTGCTTCAGAGGCCACATCCCCCACAGACATCAGGACTTGTTAAGGACTCGCTCTGTCTCCATTTTAAACCAGCAGAACCTCAGACCCTAATCCTTTTGCTCGAATTTGCTGTTGTAGCTACTTATCGATTGTGAACCACAGCCCAAGTTAAACGTAACATTTTGTGACGGGGCTAATGCGCTGGCTAATGGCTTTCAACCGGCAGTGACATTATCGCAGGTATTTGGCTTCAGTTGTCACCTGAAAGCGAGAAGTCAGCCGACTCCAGAGCTGATCAGAAAGAGAAATAATAACAAGAGCTGCGGCCCTGGTGCTTGGCGACCTGTATCTGTGTACTGTACGCCAGCTCAGCAAGACATAATAAAAGGGAAATGCAGGAGTAGCCAATTCATATTCTGCTCAGGCCCCCTTACAGGGACAAGATAAATAAATAAAAAAGGTAAGACATTAGAATGGAATAAATAAAAGTGAAGGGCAGAGGGGGGTCCTAATTAGCTGTTGCTCTTTGATGTGCCCGCCACCCGTGCTGCCTATGAACCTTTCAATTAATACATCCCCAGCTAAGATGGCTGCATCAGCTATTCTCTCTGCACTGCCCATCCGTTCCTTTTTACTCAATTATGTCAGAAGCCGGAGTCTATTTAGCCAAGGGAGCCCCATTAAGAAGACAGAATTTGAGAGAGAAGAAAGGAAATGAATAGCATAAGAATAATGTAGAAGAAAGGGGAGGAAAAGACATTACAAGGATTTGACAGGAGATGATTTTGACAATAGAGGAAGTGATGGAGGGGATAAGCTATCCAGAAGTGTGTGTTAAAGAAAATAGAGAGAAGAAGAAAAAAAGTAGGATAAAGGGTAAAAAAAAAGAGTGAAGAAAATGTGTGTGAGCCAGAAGATGTTCGGTTAACCAGATTATTCATGTCAATATCTGTAGCTCCAGCAGCAGCCAATATTATTATGATAGCTATGATAGCATGACCTGCGTGACTGCCAACGTGGACATCTATCTATTCGAAACAAATAATCCCTCGTTGTGGTACGTGTCACGGCACAGCAGCCTCTGCCGAAGGACGCAGCGTGGCGCAATTTGCATTTGTTTTAGCTCCATCTATTTATCTATCAGTCCCCTCGTACGCCCTGGTCCTGACGAGTGTGACAGCGTGTTAGTCCAAATAAGGTTCCGTGAGATAGAGAGGGATGGAGTGTCACGCCCGGTGGGGAGAAGGGATGGGGTGTGTGGAGATGGCATAAGGAGAAAAATAAGTTTTGTTGCCTCAACAGAAGGTTACGAGCCCCGTGATGGATGGACCATGAAGGAAAAATCCGCTGATCTCACTGAGTTCTTTTCCCACCCAGACACCCACTTTGCTTTTTCCCCCCCATGCCCTTTCATGTCTTTTGGAGCTTTCTTGATCTGATCTGTGAGGAGCAGGGTGTGGACCGAGTGTCACTGTGTGATCCTGCACTCATAATCTTGTTTATTAAACGTCTATTCAATTAAAAAGGGGCCTGGGCCCCTGTAGGTGATGCACTGCTCTGAGTTGCCACTTTGTCAGTGTCGAGAAAAGGAGCTGAGGCCAGGCCTACCCGAGTGTGAAATTAAACAGGTGATAAATTTCCCTGTATGGCCAACAGTGGGAACACTGTCATTTTTCATTACTGTTAAACAAAAGGCGGAAGAAAACAACTTCCATTTTTATGCTCTGTGCTCCCCTCCCCCCAACAAGACTAATGAGGATGGTTTTTAAGTCAGGTCTACGTAAACGAATAAATCACATGTTCACTTCCTCTCTAGGCTTATCTTAGATATGAAGTATGGAGTTGGGGGTTGTGCACACCGGTGATGTAGAGCTTTGCTGCTGTCTACAATAGAGCCAGAAAATACAGTCTTTGGTCTTATATTTTGTGACAGAGTGCTATATTACACAATATATACTACTAATTTTGCCAAAATCTACCACCCATACATCTAGGCGGGGATGAATTTATCAACAACAAATCATTTCTACAGTATATAGCCAAAGATCTCACAGCCAAACACGGTTATTTCAAGGGGAAGAATAGCAACTTGGTTTTGATCGTTGTACAATGACAGCAGACGTCCTGTGGAGGGTCTGGGTCAGATTTGAAGGGGGGCTGAAAGGACCTGGAAGCAGTGGCCACCCCTGGGGTGAAATTTATCGGTTGCAGACAATCCCATCTCCACCCCTATCTGTGAAAGCATCGGTGCCCCTTTTGTCGAGAGATACAATTTTGATGGAGAAGAGTGCAAAACGGAGAGAGAGACATGAGTGGGTGGAATGGCGGAGAGAGAAAAAAAACAAGAATCTATTGTGTAAGCCTGATGGTTTTCTCTGAATCAAAATGAGCAACTGATGAAAAAAAGGAGGATGTTCGGAGACACTATGAGAGAAAGAATAAAAACTAACCCATGAGGCACCACGAGCAAAGCAATGCCCTTAGGCAGGGAGGGAGCGTTTTACTCCTGATACCAGACAACCAATAGACAGACAGAGCACAGGGTGTATGTATGTGTGGTGACAAAGAGTCTGCATGGTGGGCATACGGTTTCACATTTCTTCATGCTCCACATACAAAAAAGGTCACTCGTCTCAGTCAATGAAATGATGTTAAATCGACCACGAGAAGCTTTGCCGGCACGATTCGCCTCACAGGCCTAGGGCCAATGCGGTAGACAATAGTAGAAAGAAAAAAAAGAAAAGAATGAAACACCCCTGGCTAGCAATCAAAATAGGAGAGGATTCCTCTCATCTCTATTTGCTCTGTCCTCCATCTACCTCCTCTTTTCTCCTCTCAAGCCATCCCTCCTGCTGGCAGGTGTAATCTGCTCCCCTTCACACCTCGTCAGAGGATGACTATGTTCCATGCGACAACCCAACAGCCGACGGGGAACGGCATCGTCTGCATGACAACCAGAGGTTGGCATGTTGCTCCCTCCAGAGTTGTCCCCCAAGACAGGCCAAGCGAGGGACTGTGATATCCTGCCTCGGTCTGTCAGCGCTGATCAAGATATGATTTGCATGGTGAATTAGATCTCATTTATTCAGAATGTGGAGGAACGACAGAGCCACAGGCGTAGAAATCAAGGGTACTCACATTAAGTGCCATTGGTCACACATATACACAAAGCATAATTGGACAAAAGGGCTTGATAAAATGTATACTGTTAAATCTTCAAATAAAAGCTGGTATTCAATAACCGCGACAACACAAACAAATAACACCTAACAAAAGCCAAGTGAAATGACTTGTGCTATCATCGGCTCAGATGGTGAACATGTGATACGCACCAGTCTGTTGAGTTTCTCTTTTAAAATAATATATTTCAATGCTAATATCAATGAAACTTAAGGTCGTCTTCCACTGAAAAATATGTTCTTCCTCTTGAGTTTTTTTTCTCTGAGCTTTACTGTGCAGAATGATGTCTGTGCAGAGTTTAACGCTGGAAGGATGTTTTCACATTCATCTTCTGAATATGGAAAGTTTCTCTGTGCTCATTGAAAATCTGATTTTAAGGGGCGGGACTACAAGCATTTGACATCACAATTAGTTTGGAGGTCAATCCTGGTCCAGTATGCAACGTATGAGAATGGACTTCACAGTGAAGTAGGAGACATCGTGTGTCAAGCAGGAAAATATGCAACATTTGCATATTCACAGTTTCTTTAATTTTTTATTAAGTAGAAGGAGTGAATGTCTTTTTAAGGATTTTAATGTAGAAATTGTATTTTTTGTGCAGAAAAAACATCAGACACACATTACTGTTCCAAGCAAATTATTGTCGAATATGCCTAATACATGTCTGGAGGGGATCTCCACTTCCTCCAGATATTTCACATTAAAACCATGCTAGGAAGATGGGAAGTTTTATGCATTATAAGCTTCTGGAAGGCTTTGTGTTGAGTTTCATTGACAGCAGCTTCAAACCGAATTAAAAAATGGCCAAGTAGGACCAACAATAATTAATTTGCTTTAATTTATTGAGACAACGAGTAAAAATGGGGGAAAGTGCTGAGATCCAGAAACAACAAACAGCAGCTGCAGCACATAAGAAAGGGAGCGGATCAGAAAATTGGCTTTCTTACCAAAACATAATAAAATAAATAAATATATAATACAATAGGGTACATTAGAAATAATATGAGCTTGGGTCTGGATCTGCAGTTGAGGTTAATAAAGACCCTGGTAACTATTTGAGAATTTAAAGCAGCTAAAGAAATGGAAGGACTGATGAAGCATGAAGATATTGTTTTCGAAAAAAAGTATAGCTGACCTGAACTTAATCACCCAGAAGTAATTTGTGTTCATGTAACAGGTTTTGTTGACGGACACGCAGTGTGACTTTCACTTCATCTTTCGCTATGTTAGCCTGTTGGCATGCTGCTGGTGGCATATGCAACCATTATGAAAATCCACAGATGACTGAATACTGCGCCACAGGTCAGTTGATAAAGATAATTACACCATTTCAATGGGCGATTGGTTAACATAATTACACCATTTCAAAGTCCATTTCCTACCTTCGTCGCAGCTGCCGGGCTTCACCACATCAATTCTCCTCTTCTGCATGCAGGAGGACATGCGGAGTTCACACTCGTTGTTGTAGGTGGTGCCATCGCTTCCACACACCGTGGAGAGGGCCTCGCCCAAGCACTGTGGGCACTCACACTTATTCTGGACACACCGAGCACCCCAGGCACAAACGGTGATGCCGCATGTTTCTGAATTACACACACAGCACAGGGACGGGTCAGAGTGGGATGGGTCAATGCAAAAAAGGAAATATTCATTGAGTTGTTTTGATGGATTTCACTCACACCAGACCTTAAAATGCTTCTCTGGAATAGATATTTAAATGAAATTTCTCTGGTCCTTTCCTAATTGTCATGCATGCAAATTCCTCTTGTAATATAACCCTCACTTAAAACTGATGTATACATTTTCCCTCGGTAATTCCCCATCTGAATACCCTGCAATTTCATTCAAAGTTTGTTAAAATAAGAACTGCCTGCCTGCAGCTGTATGAGGTTCCTGTTGGGTTCTACTTGCATTTTTTATATTCACATTTAATTTATAGCTCGAGAAAAAGAACTTCATACATTTTTCTTTCTTTTTTCTCTTATCACCCAGGATTCATACGCACAGTATGTCAAGAATAATTTAAATAACAATACATATGATACACTGTAAGCATTAGACACACACTGTTTATATGTATGCATTACTTACTGCACTCTCCCTGGTTGACCACTCGGAGGTCCATCTGTTCTTTGCAGGCCCGGACATGCAGCTCACACTCGCTGTTGTAGGTGGTGCCATCACTTCCGCACACAGGCTGGTGGGACTCCACACACTCCGATGCACACACACATTGCCCGCTCTGGGCATCGCAGATCGCCCCGAAAGAGCAGTTGCCACATGCCTCATCTAGATGGAGATAAGGAGGAGGGCAAAGGCTTAGCATATGTGTTTATGGTTGTGTGTGTGTGTGTGTGTGTGTGTGTGTGTGTGTGTGTGTGTGTGAGAGAGTTTTTAAATAACTTCGGTGGCAAGTCGGCTTTAATAAATACCCTGAACTAGGATAATATTAAGCCACTTTTACACATTTTATAATTTACTTTATTTTGGTGTTTGGTAGATTAAAATGGATCAGATTCATTGTATGCCATTAATCTGTAAACATACTCCAATGCATTTCCAAGTGACTTTATTTTTTTATAACCCCTTGAAACATCTCTCAAATGGATATAAAGTTGCAAAGGAATCAGTTTTTGCCTGACTACACATCCTTAGCTCTGCATAGTTAATCTCTTTACTGTACATATTCACAAAAACAAATATTTATGCAGTTCTGTGGTTATATTAAAGCAACATCTATCAAGATAATGTTATAATGGCATAAAGATAGTGTTAACATGCTATTTTCAGACGCAGAAAATATATATCTATTTATTTTCTTCAGTGTTTTAACATCAGAATGTGAACTACAGCCAGAAAACAATTGAATGGTAAAAAGTTGTCTTTTCTTTATGTCACTCTTGACAAGCTGTATTACTGACAGCTGGTGTAGTGCTTAATGATGCAGTGCAGCAGCACAGATACAAGTGCACAGATGCAAAGTTTCCATACTGTGTGGAGAATAGGTGTAAAACTTTATTGGAGTCCACCTAAGGCAGATTCAATTGATTTGAAATACTTTCGAAAGGCAGAAGTCTGTCTATTAAAAGGTGTCACGGTTCACATGCATGTGAGTGCTAAAAACCAAGCCATGAAATTCAAAAAACTCTCCACAGATAGAATTCTACTGAGGCACAGATCTGAGGAGTAGGATGAAAAAAAAAAAGCTAAAGCGCTGAAAGTTCCCAAGAGCACACAGTGGGCGCCATCACTGAAGGAATTTGGAACCACCCTAAACCACTTTTTCTAGAGCTGAAACTAAATAACTGAACAAAAAGAGAAGATCAACCATTTCTACAGCACTCCATCAACAAGACTTTATGGGAGAGTGGTCCGAACTGAAGCTACTCCTGAGAAAAAGCCACATGACAGCCTGGCTGCAGTTTGCCAAAAAACACTTAAATGACTCTGAAAGCATGAAGGAAAGATTCTCTGGTTTGATGAGACAAGAATTTAACTCTTTGGCCTGAATGCCAATTGCTGTATCTAGTGAGAGCCAGATACTACTCATCACCATCCCCACGGAGACGCATGATGCCAGCACTTCTTTTCACATCTTTTGGGGATGCTTCTGGGCAGCAGCTTCTGGAAAACTGAAAGAATTGAGTGAGAAAAGTCACACTTTTCTGGTTGTATTCATCACTTTGTAAGGTTGTTCGTATCTGCCTATAAATATGCCATTTTCCACCACACTTCAAGACTGAATCAGGCAGATTGATGTCTGTATTCTCTTTCCGAAAGACAGTGCTGAAATACCCAAAAGGCTCAGAGAGCTTTTGAGACTTTCCTTATTAGTTGGAGGATTCACTTGGATCATCTCTGGAGGAATTGCCCGCTCGGGAGGCAGAGATTTTCCCTGAAGTAACAGCAAGGCAGGATCAGACATGTTCAGGGTACTGGCTGATGTCACGTGGGGGCAGAAAATGAATGAGCAGGCAAATGCGAGGCCCGGTACAGAGACAGGGCTAGCAGTGGATGTACCTCTCCCTCTGACACCAATTACACCTGGAAGATTGCATTAACACGGTTCACTATCACATTCAATTAGGGGCAGGCTAATAACCGCTGCTGATTTAGCACTAATTGAGAGAGGCAACTCTGGCCGCTGGAACCTTCCACATTATTAATCCGTTTATTACTCTTTTAGAGTCTTTCATTTCCTTCATCTCTCTATCTAGTGCTGGCATCCACTCCCATCTTGGATTAACAGCCTTGGCTGTAAACTAGATGCAGAAATGTGTGGCATTTAACATACAGTGTATTGCCTATAGGAGCAATATATTATTTATTAATAGAATGACAAATGGCTAGGCCACTTTAGACAAAATGTGCTTCCAACTTTGTGGCAACACTTTCTCTTTCAACATGACAGTGCCACAATGCAGAAAGCCAGGTCTATAAAAAAATGTTTTTCCGAGTTTGGTGTGGAGGAACAGTGCGGGCCCACACAGAGCCATCCAACACTTTCGGGATTAATTGGAACACCGAATGCAAGCCAAGCCTGAGCATCAGTGGCAGCCCTCACTAATGCTCTTGTTTGCTGGATGGGAGCAAATCCCTGCAACCAGGTTCCAAAACCTTGTGGAAAGCCTCCCAGAAGAGTGGGGACTGTTATAGCTGCATATTAATACCCATAGTTTTGAAATGAGGTGTTAAACAATCACATATGAGTGCAATATCGGGGTATATACTTTTGGTAATGTCTAGTCAAGTCTAATGATTTATGACTAAATAATATATTATCAGTGATCAAATGTTACTCCTATCTCAACAAAAAGATATTAGAAGACAAAGAGGCTTTATAATAGCTAGGGTTTTCTGTAACGAAAATAAATAAACATAAAATATAAGTGTCAGTAAAATGGGGGTTGCTGTGGTCATGGCTCCACTGTGGTTACGGCAGCTATAAATCAGGAAGTGGTGGTGGTGAGTGTTGTCCTTTATCAGGCCCTGTGTCCTGATAGCAGCCCTGCTTCTTTATCAGCTCCTGCCCCTCGCACCTGGCTCTCCACACTGCCTGATCCTCCAGACGACATGCATCGCAAACAGAGAGGAAAAGGAGAAGAGCTTCAAAGCCAGGAGAAGGGGGAGAATTGTCAGTATTACTGCTAATGTCTCCAAGTCTGTCATTACTAATTTGGAGTTTCAGTGGAAAACAGTCTGTTTCTCTCTCTGAAGGCTGACAGCTTCACAACCGTAAAAAAAGAAAATCAGACTTTAAGGTAAAAAGTCTGGCAGGCTAAGCATTAAGACGCGCGCTCTCATGACGTTAAAAAGTGAAAGCTAGTGTGCTAACATTAGAACCTGGGATCTTTCATCTCATTCAAATACTTTTCATGTCCACCAATGCAAGAACCTCTCCGTCCTGGGAAAATACACAGTATAACACAGTGTGTCCAAGATCAAAGTAAGATATTTCAAGGCCTTCTCATGTCAGGTCTAATACAATCCTGTATCTCAAAAAATAGCCCAAAGAGTAAACTAAACATTGTAAAGAAAAAAAACAACAACATTACAGCAAGACAACTCAGCGAAACCACCTGATTCAGACCTACTGCAACTTAAAAACACCAAATGTGACCTGCCTCTGGCTGCCAGACTTGGATACGTTTTAGATGCGTTGAGATAGGCTGAGAATCAGCTACACTTAGCAACACTCTGGAAAGCTTTGAGCCAGCACTGGCACCCAGATCAGTGGAGTTAGGATGATATTTGTGGGCAATTCATCACAATCCTGGCATAAGTTGTTGTTTGGCCAAGCCATTTTGGTACCTGAGAAATTTAGATTTCTAAACCATCCGAGTCTGTACTTCAGAAATGAAATATCAGATAAACATTATTTATGAAATCCTGGGGTCTTAAATTCACATCTTATTTGAAAATGTTTAAAAAATGCAAGCAGCTCAGAACCAGACATCATTGTGTCACAAGAGCAGCTTTTATTAGCCATTAGCCACAATGCTGTAGGTTACTACTGGATGCATTTATGTAATGTATATAAAAGGATAACACAGATATTAATATAGAGTCTCCTTATATGATATATACCTTTCACGTATTTCTATATCTCCTGCCATGTCTTGCCTCTAACTATCAAACCAAACTTTTTTCCTCTGCTGCTAGAACTTAGTCAAGGTCCCCTTGAAATCCTGTGGACCTAAAGTTGGGAACTACTGATGTTGGTTCTTGCACTGTGACAGCTTTTCTTGTTGTGTTTGGTGGCAGCATTTGTGGCTTTAGAAGTGAGAGTGAGAAATAGGGGCAGGTTGGTATAAAAAGTGGCCTTGAAAGCATGAAGGATTGTGTCACTGAGGAGAAAAAAAAACAAAGACCCTCCAGCTTTACGGTGTTTTGTTGATATCCTCACTGGGGAAAAAAAAAAAGAATTGCGTCTAGGGGGTCTGGGTGGAGTATTACCTCTGGATTAAGCAGAAAGAAGTAGGTTGGTTTGTGTTTTGAAGGCTTGTGAACATGCCTGGGTGATAACAACTCCCCTGTTGATGCCTGCCTGGCTGGTACACTATTAACTCTGCCCCTCACTTTTTTCTGCTCCTCCTCATCTTATTTACCTCCATCTCCTTCTCTCCCTGCATTTATTACTTTCCCCTCCCTCTTTCCTCGGCCCTCTATTCTCCCTCTGTCCACTCTCATGCCACTGCTCCTACCTACTGTATATTTCTTACTCAACTGTGTATATCATTTGAAACACCCATGGGAGAAAAGGGGGGGATTTGTTATTTAATGATTCAGGCGCCTCTGCTCTCATATGTTTGGGTAAAGCTGGATGAATGGCCCTTTTTCAGAGGCTACTGATATTCAGCTGGGGGGTCTATTAACCAAGCACACTTCTCCCAATCCACCTTACAAGGTCGCCAGCCACTCAAATGCAGGAGGAGGAGAAATCTCAGAATAATAACAAATGTCACTCATATTGCTATCGGGTTGCACCTGAGCTATATAGATAACCACTATTTTTCCAGCCCGGAGGGAAGGAAATGAAATTATGGCTGGGCCCGTGAGAGGCTGCAGTAAGCCACACACATAAACACACACAGTTAAGGACACATGCACACATTATTTTCCCTATTGTGGCGCCTCTCACCTCTTAAACTATTGCTGCCCTCACCTGCCTTGCTTAAGCTCCTACTTTTGAGTCTGGCAGCCATAAATCTGACAGCTTACACATTATAGTGCATTTGGATGGAAATAACAAAACAGAGCCAGTAAACAAAAATAAACATTTGTGATGGCTATTTCTGAAATCACAAGTATAAAAACATATACAGTCCTACTTAATGTTGCCGAATGAAGAAAATGGAAATGTGGCACATAATTGTTTTAGTGGAAAAAAACTAAAGCAATAAATTGAGATTGGTAAGCAAACATAATAATATTCCTAATTTCTTATGCTCTACTGCAATTGAGAGATAGGGTTACAACCTGTGTATCACAAAAAAATCTCCCTTCATTTACCACTTCTGCTGCACTTTTAATTCCAGTACTTCCATCAGCACCTGAAGGCAGCATACGTTCTTCTCCTCTCTCTCCTTTTCTGCTCCATAAACATGTATAGTATATTAGTAGTGGGAATGGCCTGTGATAATTAGGTGAGATAATAGCTTAAGTCAGTCAGTTGTTATGGTGCTGAATAAAGCCCAGTAAAGCTGTGCAAACAGCCCAGAAATAACCCACATTATCATCGCCATCATTCCTCAGCTGGCTCGCGCCTGGCAAGCCAATGCCTCAGCATTTTTATGGCACCATTGCGCTGACGCAGGCCTGCTCCTCTGGGAGCCAAGAACCATCCATAGTGCTGGATTACCGACAGGGCCCTCCACTCCGCCAGCTCGCTCTGCCTCTCGCTTTTTAAAATAAAGACTATTCATTACTGCAGAGGGACCCCGGGCCGACAGACCTGCCGTCTACCTGCGGCACGGCACACGGAATTGAGTCAGCTCGCCTGCCCACCGACCAAACACTGCTCTCGCTCCATTTCCTGTTGGCATACATCCTTAGGTGCTGGATTTCAATTTAGGGAAGGCTGGGAGGGGAAAATGACAGATGCAGTACGCGAACAGAGGGAGTGTAGAACCTCTCCAACAACTATCCCTGTCATCTACTCAGCACAGAAAGAAACTCAAACCACTACTCATTTTACAAAACAAACACACTATCTCGTACAAACAAACTCGACCCATAAACTGCACATTTTGGGACAAAACAGTAGAGTACAATTTCATACACGCAAAGTGAGAATAATTTAGTTGTATTGATCATTCAGCGAACTGCTCAGCTCATCCACAAATACGGTACCACAGAGGCCAACTCATTTTCATTGTTATGGTCTTCAAAATATGCAGGAAAAAAATCTATTGTAGTAAAAATGAGGTTACTGAGAGACTCGGGCCAAGGGGCTAATAACTGCTGTACTTCTGCCCAGTGTGTGTGAAAAGCGAATGGCTTGATCATAGGCAAGGAAGAATACTCAATCACCAATTACAGTCTATGGGAAAATTGGCCTTCCAAGATGGCATAAAGCCATCTAAAGTATTCACTAAGAGGGTTTACCAAGCTGTGAAAATCTGTCTGCATGGCTGTGTGCCTGCATAGTGGATCTGAAAATATTTTTACCACTTGAAACTGTATTGCTGGTGTACTAATGACTAGCTGATACTCCGACACTGCAAGACAAAGCAAAGTGACTCATGTAGCCAATTACAGACAAGTATGCTCTGCATTCTCTTTCATCTGGAGTAAAGAGCATCTTCACTTAAAGGTCAAAACTGGCAAATTGGTGTTGGTATAGAAGGGCTGTATAAGAGCAAGAGGAAAGAGATGAAGAGCAATTGACAAGGGATCAGGAATTTTCTTAAGACCTGAAAATGCATTAAGTGTTGTTTTGATTTTGTTGGATTTAAAATGGGAAGCCCTGGGGGGGTCACCATGAATACAACTCCATATGTGTTAATTGTTAACGTCTGTGGATTATGCCTCTGGGTAATGTAATACTATTAATTAATTTGAGCTTAATTATATTCCACAAGGAGAGATCTTTCTCTACCTGTGAGCATTGATTCACATCATTTCCTTATGAATTCATGACGGTATGGTGTAATGTTACAGCATAATGTATACATTTATTACATGATAGTCAAAGGCAATTCATAAACAAGGTGCCAGCATATTTTAGTTCTGTAGCTCTGTGGTGTTTTGTCGAGCAGCTACTCACCACAGGGTCCTTTGTGTTGGATGTGAATGGTCCTTTGCAGGGCACAACCCATTGCTCGCATCTCGCAGGGACTGCCGTAGCTGTGGCCGTCGGAGCCGCACACTGGGTCGGATGTTTGGGGGCAGGCCTCTGGGCACTCGCACACTGGCTCGTCATTCTTGACCACGCACACTGCCCCATGATCGCACACCTTGTCCAAGCAGGGGCTCGGTATGCTGAGATCTGAAGGTGGACCACCCAAGAAATAGAGAGAAAAGTTAGAGGGGGGATACTGAACAGGGTAGATGGTAAGCTGAAAGAATATAAAGTAGTGGTGGGAGAAAGGTCTGGGGCTGGAAAGGGCATAGGTGATAGGGAGGTAGGTTAGAGCATAGCCACATGAGGAACTGCAGGTTTTGTGTTAGAAAAGGTTTGGGGTATGTTAAGAGATATGATGGAATATGCAACACAGCCCTATTCCTGTGACACCTCTACTTCCTCAGCTTCCTATGTCATTTCCTCGCCTTTGTGCCTATCCTGATGTATCCTGAAGCTTTGAAGAGTCCACTGAATCCGGTGGCATGAGGACAGCGGATAAAAACATGGCCCTGTAGCACAATGGAGATGAAACAGCCTACGAACAATGGTTGCACAGCCTTTTTTCTTTCAGGCGAGTAAACGCCCGGATTAATTGACGTTCCCAATGTGCCCCTTCAAAGGCTTCCATTTGCATCTCAGTGAGAGCCACCGCTTCAGCCAAAGCTGGTTGAACTGACATGGAGGAGCGAGAACAGGAAGAGCAAGAGGGAGAGAGTGTGCGAGAGAGAGAAAATGTGGAGACCGGAAAACGAGAAAAAAAAGGAAACAGGCAAAGAGAAGAAAGAGCCCTCTGCTTAATAATTCAAAAAAGGCAAGCTCCTGGGCAGAGGCAGATATGAAATGTGAACATCACAGAGAGGTGTCTGCTTCAGTCTCTCCCTCTCACGCAGTAGCTCCAGCATGACTTCATTAAAACGAGGACTGGATTTTGCACCTATGATTCTCGCTAGCGTCAGACGGGTTTAGGCTGGGCTGACACAACCTGACTTGATCAGGAGGAGGGAGAAGAAACCTTAAAAACAGAATGAAGAACCCTTTGATCGCAGCCTCCCATCCTGACTCAATCAATTCTTTATAGCTTTATGTGTCAATGAAAGTATTACAAGGTATTGTGAATACTGAAACAGGGTAACAGTGTGTGTGTATCAGCGCTGAGGGCTTGACTCGATTGTTAAAAGTGGGAGCCTGAAGGTAGGATGGTATGCATTCCTGTATCAAGAGTAAGCAAGAGATGATAGCCTGGCGCCATAGTGATTTTCATTTGGAAAGCTTCACGCATGAGGGATGGATCACTCAGCTAAATGTGGTGTGTCTGCAGATTAGAGGAAAAAGCAGACGGAGGCATCAAATAATTTTTGATGAGAAGCGCTGGTGAAAATTGAAAGAGCTGCATTTTACATCCAAAGTCAAACTTCTTCCTTCTCTAGTCTACCTTTTGTTTCAGCTTTTGTTAGAGGGGTAGGGGTGCTGTCATGGAAACTGCCCCTTGTAATGACACCACCCACGGCTCCATCATTATTGTGACCATTACGGGATTAGATGGCATCACAGGGGGGCAACTTGCTATGCTTGAAGCCCCATGTTTCATTTATCAGCTTAGAAGTGTTCAGTAATGCCTCTGCTTGTGGCGCTAATGGGGTAAATTATCAACTGATAAGACAAACGGAGGCAATTAGATTCTTTCACTCTGATTAAGGTGGTAGGGAGGGGTATACGAGAAAAACATAAATGTCACCTGAACATGTTAAAACCAATCCTGTGGACCATCTTTCCAAGTAATGATAGAAACTGAGGTATAGGTATTAAAATAACAAAGAGTAGAGTGGAGCGTATAGGTTGTCCACTACCTCCTACTATGTTGTGGCTGTAATTGAACAAATCTTTCCAGATTTTGAGCAAGGACACAGGCTCTCCCATTTTGGAAAGTGGATGTTTCAATTTAGGAGGCGGAACACAGCTATTGATTTCTGTGTTTTGATGCCAAGCTGCTGTTTCAGAAACAGCTTGGAGGTGCCACATAAATATGTAAGCTGCAATGCTGCTTAATTTGGTACGGCTTCAAAAACAATTGATTCCCCGTGATCTCTTTTCAACGCCCTGTGTGTGTCTGCTAGCGAGTGTGTGCGTGTGTGTGTAACAGTCGTAAGCTTCTGATCCGAGCTTAACTGTACAACCTTGGCCTCCATAAAAGTTCACCAGCCCACTTGCCAAGGACAGGCTCCTAAAACACAACTGCAGCCTCCGATAACGCCTTAGTCCCCCATTCTCTTTGTTTCACACACATAAAGAAGATGAAAGAATTCCCCTCCAAAACTAATTTTTTATCATCCTCCACCTCTGGGGGGCAAAATTTCCGCCTGATTTATTAACTAGAGAGGGTGTAGGAAAAAAAAAACAGACAAAGCTCCAAAGTGTAAAAATCTTATGACACAGTTAAAAACTGAAGCTGTCTTTTCTCTCTCTTGGATGCGGGCAGAAGCTTTGAAATGGCAGCCTGTCACAACTAAGGCTTGTGGGATGGTGTTCACAAGCCTGTTCCAGCTCTCTTTTCTCTCCCTGGTCTTCTCCCAGACACTTAAATACATCTTCTTCATGCATGTATCACTGTTTCTGTCAGGCAGGTCCAGAATAAACCAAAGTTGGTTCAAACCAAGCTATTTATACATGAAAATTAGCTTGACAGTTGAATGGGAACATCTGTAGTGCCAAAGCACAGTAGCCAAGGCATTGTTTTAGTGGCTGAGCAGGTGCAGTGAGTGGTCGGCTGTGGCAGTGGGGAAAAGTCAGGAGAAACAGCGAGGGGAAAAAAAAAAATCCCAAAAACATGAATAATTCTTTCTAATCAAGGATTCTGCTCTGCTAGTGTGCACTCAGCTCTGTTTCTGTAGCATGACGCCAGTTGAGAGGACTTTACATTCTGGGTGTCACCTCAGTCTGTATCCTCTGCTGCCAGCCACCGTGTAACTTTTCTATTTTAATTAGTGTGGTATTTTAATGGCACGGCCCCGCTTCAGGGCTTGGAGGGGATTACTTCAGGTTAGGCCTCGCTGTGTCAACTCGTCCCAGCAGAGGCAGCGGTCAGCCACGTCGAAACACTGAGAGGACACGTTCCTCTGATGTCCTGATATTGGCCTACCTGTCTGCCTGAAGTATCATTACTGCCCACTTAGTGGTGTTCTCTGACGGGTAAAGTGGCGAGGATGCCACAGTGTAACTTTTTAAGCCTAACAACCCCTCGTTAGGCCGGTGTGATGGCATAGCAAGCTCCGGCAGGGCTCTGGCTGTGATTGTGTGGTTGCCGCAGTGAGCAGGCGTACACTGTTAACCCCCCGTAACATGTCGGTGAAATGCTGGGAGATTATTTTGGCGAGAGCTTCCACCCATCTCCGCTCAGCTCATACATATGTTAATTGGACTTTCCCCCTCGGGTCTGTGTGCAATTCCAAATCGTTCCCTGTATTATGCAGGGCAGTGAATCAGTGTAATCCAGGTGATGCTGGCAGAAGCCAACTGGCAGGCAGAATCACCTACAACTGCAGCCCATTACAACACAGGACTCCAATGGGGCGCAGCCAATCCGTAGCAAGCCCCGCCTTCTACGTTTCTTCACCTGCAGGGCTTTGTTCCGACTCCCTCTGCCTCCCTCGCATTAAAAACATTTATGTATCATATTAGTCGAGGGAAAGGGAGGTGCAGAGAAAAGGCTATATTAGCATACAGCAAAAGGCATACCCGCGGGCTGTGTCTGTCTACCACTGAGTACTTATCACAGGCAGAAGGTGAATCGAAGCCTCTTTGTGCATTTACAACTAAGAACGTGCTGCTCTTCAAAATGGAGACAAGCAAAAACAGTGTGGGGAAAGAAGAAAAACAAGCTGGGATCCCTGATCTTCTGACATACAGTATATCTATCAGTGGTGACATCCACTGTAAACACTATTTGTTTAAGGGAAACAAGTAATTTTATCATTGGGGTGTGTGCGCCTTAGGAAGTTTCAGGTGAAGATTTCTCAGACTAATGTAGAAATGGAACAACAAAGCTCAACGTTTATTGCACCTCCAATAAAGTTAAGAGCTACAGGATGAGTAAGAGCTCAGAAAAAACACGAAATGAAATGAAAAATGTAGAAATTGGAAGAACTCCGCGGTTGATCACTGCCCGACGGCATGCAACACCCACAATGCCTCTAGTACGGTAACTTCTGACACCCTGTTGACCCACATTTCTCTGCAATTTCTGCACGATGACAGCCTGCGGGCTGCAGTAAGTGGACTGTCGGTCCCTAGCTGCTGTCAATCTGGCTCCCACAGCACTTCCTCTAATTAACTTGATTAGGAAAAACAGCACTGGTGATCTCAGGCTGACTTAGATACTCAAGCTCCACGACTGTTTGTGAGTCCAATCACTGCAGCCGGCGGAGATGCTAATCAAATAAACATGCAAATGATAAAATATTCGGCGCACAGAGTCTTGACACCTAAGGTGACTGATTTTCGTTCCCAGCTTTGCAGAGCTCTTTGTCAATGACAATGTGTCTGCCGCTGAGTGATTTTGTGTTAACCTCCGGAGGCGACAGGCAACACATTTCAAGCAACTCACTCGCACTTGTTTGAGTTTTTCTGCGCTTGCAATCATCCACTCACGCACACACTCAGCTGTGTACACATGACATGACAAAAGAGCTGTGAATAAAGAATTTCTGTCCACAAAACTAGCTCTTTCATTTGTTCCCTCCTAGTTTGCCTGCCAATGCGCTCCTCTCAGACTGTCTGTTTTAGTGGTTTTACAGAATTATCCTCCTCTATGCTCTCAAAAGCTGCACTGCTGCTTGTATTTCTATTTTATGAACAGTCTAACTACCAATTTAGAAACTCTCTACTTCCTATTCTACTAATATCAGACGTGAGGCCAGTGCATCAACAGGCTCCAGGGAGTTGTGGTGAACCACCTCACACACCCATTGATTCAAAGTACTACCGAATATGCACTAAATAACTTGACTTACAGGGGCTGCAGGAAAGACCCTCTGGTCAGGAAGTAAGCACTGATATAACTTGGGCCAAGACAAAAAAGGAATACTAAGATTTAATTAAACATTTTTATTACAAAAGTAATTATTTTTTTCCCTAAAGGGACATGGGAA